ACGCATCGTTGCCGTAGATTTTATATTGTTATCTACTTTTTTTATGTGTAATATTTCTTCTGCAGTTGTAGTTTAATTGACCTTGCTAACGTTTCGCCAATCATCCTGTTGGCTTCTTCAGAGCTTGACTGAAACTGAACGACTAAGCAAAAACCGAAACAGGAGGAATCCAGAAGTTTTGTAAAAAGCATTACAGTAGCCTGTGGAAGTTTCTTTGAGAAAAAAAAAAAAAGAATTAGAAAGTAGTTTTTTAAAGTACCTTCATTTTTAAATAACTAATAAATAAAGTACTTACGTTAAAATGGTCTTCACTAATGGATTTTAACCATATTTTTCGTGTTTTTGCTTGAATAGGTAATTTAATAAATATTTTTTCCCGGAGCCGAATTGGTTGTAGTTTTACAGCCTGGCACGATGCAACAACGATAAACCATTGTCAACTCAAAAATAACTGACTCACGAAAATGTTAAGCAGATAACAGTAAAACATACCTCGTGACGTTTTAATTATTAACTACGATGTGAATATTTCCATTATGGCAAAAATATTTCTGGGGGAATACTTTTGAACTCTTATTAAGTATTTTCATTCAATTCAAAAAAACATCTGCAACGACGCTATGGTAAAAATAAAAAAAATAATAAATTAATTTTTTTTTCATTTATGCTTTTAGTAGCGTTTGAAATATTATTTCAAATTTTATGCCAAGAATGACGTTCGCGAGCGCTAAGATTAACTGTCAATTTTTTCTATAAAGCAGTAGACTTTATTATTTTGGTTGATTGTATTGCTTATTGAAGAACTTATTAGGCCAATAAGATTGTTTATTTACAAATTTACAGTTCTAGTTCATAGTTTGTGCTTTTTCATATTAATGTTTAGTAAGGTCCGCATTCCATTTAATTATTAATTAATATTATGGCTTCTTGTAGTTATTCTCTTTTTATGTTTCCGTATGTGTACTTTTATATAATCAAGATTCAGGATTGAGATATACCCACTATATTCATTTACTTATGGTCTGCATATTACATTTGTTATATTGAATTTTAGTTATTTTTTGTTTATTCCAAATCCGTGGAAAATATTTATAACGTCTACAGTCAAATACGTATTACCTATAAAAATGTATAATCGCGTGAAACTAATGCTCGCAAGGAGAACGTATTATACCGAACGGTGCCATTTATTAGGTACCGCTTTGCAAACGTGGGGATTGAGGTCTGAATGTAAATTAGCATCAAAGAAGGGTTTATTACCGGGCGTACGTGGATACCTTTGACAGTTAAAAAGCTTACTTCCTTTGAGGCTCGCTCCGTGTCGCACGACAAACCCAAATATGCATTTCTGGGTCGTAGGTTTTCCGTTTACGCGGAACTTTATCTCCTGGGAAACCTGACTGGATAGGTAATAAACAATAGAACGAAATAAGGAAACACACAAGTTTTTTGAAAGACCCTGGCCTAATTTAAGTTGACTTTATCGAGCTAAACTGTTTTGAACTACGCAACATTATATATAATATATGGCAACATTTTATTCTTCTGATTAATTTTGCTTAATACTTCCCTGTACCTATTTACAGCGGTTTTTGAAATGTTAATAATTTTTCCTTTATTTTGTCCAACATGAGGCAGCACTAAAACCCTAATTTAGCTACAAACGTTTCGATAAGATTCGGCGCGTTCCGTTTTTGTGTCACGTCGAAATAAGTACTTCTAAGCGACCCTGTATTATATAGAATAAATTCATCTAGGTAAATCTAATAACAGGGCTTTTACAAAGTAACTAAAATTGCAGCTAAAAATTGCAAAAACCTCTCAAAACAAGCAATATTGATTAGGAGGAAGCAGTATATCTAAGAGAGAGCCTAGTATCCGAATTTTGAAAACAATATTTGTTCGTTCTCCGTAGAATTCCTACCATCGAAAATTAATCACGGTATAATAAAATCGTATGCAGGAATATTGTTTTTAAAACCTGTTTTTTTTTTTTTAATTTACCTGAGATACAAATTTTACTTCCAAAAAGAATCTTTAACACCGTAATGGATGAAAACGAAAAAAATCATTTCCAACGTTGCCCGATTAGGTAGGACGCTTAATTTGAGTTTAGGCGATAAGTAAAAACGCTGCACTGCAATTTATCTCGGCGTGACTAAATCGCAGAGACGAGCCCATTGTGCGGATGCGTCCGAGGATGTGATTTGCACATCAGCGGAGGATTTTTGGAACCGCATGAATGGGTGACTTAATAAGTTGTTTTCGTAGTAGTGGGCGTCTCAGTCAAGGTCATCAGAAGTGATCGCGCTGTTGCCGTCGTTTTATATCCTTTTGATTCTTCCATATAAGCTATTGAAAATTAACATTTCATAATGAACAAATATCATTATTTACTAGGTCCAGATGTCACTCCAATTTTATAATATAATGTTGTAAGAGCATATAATGAATTCAATAGTTAAGTTGTCATGTTTTGCCCGTCTATATAAAAATATTTTATTGAACAAAGAAAATAACGTCCAATGTATCCTCTTTGAAACTATTTATCATTTCAACATTACCCTTTTTATTTATTTCGATTTTAATTTCAGATTAAAACAAGTACATTCTTTTTTCTATTATTTTTATTTTGAGTAACTTTTAAGCTACCCTTTTGAGACTTCTAGCAGTTGGGTCGTTGTTATATTTTCTTTCAGTCGTAGATTATTCAAAGAGGGTATAATAAGTATCATATACCAGGGGGGAAAAAGAGTATTTGACAACCTAAAGCGGGATAACAGTGTTGAGCTCCATTGGAAAAGTTAATGGAAAAATAAAGAACATACTTGAAGAAGAACAAAGTGCATTCCGAGCTCATAGATCATGCATTGAAAATATATTTGTTATAAAACAGGGACGGACAAGAGACTTGTCAATAGTCTACAAATTCATCTGATCTCTGTAGATCTTAAAAGAGCTTATGATAGTGCATCTCTATATATATACAAACAACACAAACTGTGTTAAGCATGACACTTCACCGTAAATAAGCGCCTAAGGCAGGAGATATTGTCTGGGTCCCACAATTTTCAAAATTGACTTAAATGAAGCTCAGAGACCTGGAGGAAGAAGTGTGTGACCAGGTAATATTTACTGAAGATGTTGAGAAAGCTGAACGAACAGTATGAAAAGTGGGGGCTATGCATAATCTTTAAAAAAACTACCTATACCTATAAGTATCCTGAGAACCATAAAGTTTAATAAGAATATCACAAATGACGTAAAAAGAAGAATATATAAGGCAATAGTAGTGCAGAAATGTGGGAAATATCTATAAGGAATCAAGATCGACTAAAAGCTTTGGTAACGGATTTCTGGTTACGCAGCTGTAGCCTGTCAAAAATGGAAAAAGTGAGAAACCAACACATTAGAGAGCACATGAACGATGGCCTCCGAAGATCTGGAACTGGAAACCACGGGAAGACCGCGACTTTCGCGGAAAGACGGTGTGTTTCAGACAATGGAAGATCGCCATATGCAAAACCTTGACTGGGAAGATAGAAGACCATGGAGGCTTGGATTTGAAAGACGTCGCATATGGTGTAATTTTTTTGTTTTACAAATAGTTTTCGTCAATACGAGTTGTCGACTTTAACAATTCCACAAATAAATTTAAAAATCGTTATCTAAAATTAGTCAGAACGTTTGAAATTGTTTGAATATCAAATGATTTCCGCAAAAAAAAATACATTTACAGGCCAGAAACGGATAATAAAATCGTATTTAATTTGGCGTTTTGTGTTTTTCTTGACAATCTCATTCAATTTGCAGATATTTTTATAACTATAAGCATTATCATGGCGTTTATATAAGTAGTGGAAAAGTTACTTCAACTTTGCTTGGGTTAAGTTAAAAATTGACTAGTTAGTGACAGCAAAAGTTCTTATCATCTACTTTCGTTTTAGAATTTTAACTATAAAGTCGCCCATATAGATATTGAGTGTCAAAAAAGTTATCATACGCTGTCCGTTAGCTTTGGCAAGACCCTGTACATTTGCGATGCAGACGGTAAACTGTATTTCTTTTAAGACGCAGCCTATTTATTTGTCAAGGATTCAGACGCTTTGCGCGGATTCTACAGAAACCTTTGAAGTTTGACCGACTTTTAATTTTTTTTACTCGGCTAAATTCAAACGCGTTTATTTTAAAGTGGCCTCTTGTTTCGGGAAAACCGCGAAACTTTTGCCTCGGCTGACATTCGAAGACGCGTAATATAAATAAACGGAAAAATAAGTTTCTGGAAGGCGGGCAATCTCTCGACTACCTGGAACGTTTATTGAAGCTTGAAACCTAATCGTTTATTCCGAACTAACGATTGCCTTAAAAATTCCGCGAAGACCGCAATTTAACGGCAAGTTATTGCACACTAATCGTGATGGTTTAACAGTTTCCGTTTAATATTAGTTTTGTGCGTGCGTCAATATATGAGCATCTGAACCCATTTTCATTCCGCTGCTAACGTGTTCGATGTAAACGATTCGCCCATGTTTTTCAATTGGTTCTTGCAGAATAAAGCACTTTTATTCCCCGATCCTTTCGTGAAAAGGCGAAGGGATACAATTAGGGGGGTATGGTTTCCTAATAAGCGACAGGATATACGGCGTTGGGGTTGCAAAGAGATCGCAAAAATGACTCACCATTGTTCGGCAACTTTAAGCAATGCACTAGAAGTAATCCCTGCGTTATATGAAGTACAAATTATAAAGTTTCTTAAAAACATAACCACCAACTGAAACAATTATTACATTTTGTATTTACCACAGACTACAAAAGTTGGTTATTTTCTCCCCACATAGTTTTAAGCTAAATGCACGTTAGACAGTACATGAGTACAGACAGTAGCATGGTATACTAAAGATGGCGAGTTCTAACTCTATTTTAACATTCGGTCAGTCGACATTTGGAAAATCACAGATCGCAGATTGGTCGGTGCAGGTCTAAATCGGTTTGTTTTGCAGGGCGGTTACCCGGCTAAGCTTAAAAAGGTCCTGATCGTGACGGCGCCGCTGTGGTTCAAGGCGCCGTTTAAGATTCTGCGACTGTTCGTGCGCGAGAAGCTTCGCGAACGCGTCTACACGGTGTCGGTGGCGCAGCTGCTGGCCCACATACCGAGAGAGTCGCTGCCCGCGCAGCTAGGAGGCTCCCTTGTCCTGGACCACGATGGTTGGCTCGAGCACTGTCTCGCTTCCATGACTACGTCGGCGGTTTCGTCACCGGTGCCCCTTTACGGTAACGACTACGCGCTTTAACGGATTTTATTAATTAATTTTAATCGCAGAAGAAAAGATACGCACAAAAAAGGTATTACGGTATCCTTTTGTTGTCTGTGAAAAAGCGTTTAGTTTTCTGTGACAGTTTGTTACAGGCTAGAGCAATATAAAAGTGACCTTATGGGGCATTTCTGCACAAATATATCTGGCTGATTTACTCGTTATAGCCGAATTGATTGTAGACAATTGAATAACATATAATAACACTATCTCAGGTAGCAGAGTGTCGTCAAAATGACGTCATTAACTAGTCACCAATTGACAAAAATGACCTTATATATGACGTCACAGGACGTTAATTTGACCTACTGTCTCTGACGAATGATGTCATTTAAGTGACGCCTTTTTTTACGTCAATTAGTGTAATCATTTTTTGTCATTTAAGTGAAACCTTTCTTACGTCAACTTCAAGTCAGATTTTGGTCTTCACTGTTTTTTGTTCTTTTCTTTTTGCAATGGGAAAGATAGAAAGTAAATCGCACGGTTGCGGAAAATGGAGAATTATAGGTAATGAATAATTATGAGCCTTTCTTTAAAAAAAAATATGGAAATATAATATACAGGGTGTTCAATTCGATTTTTTCGCTAAAATTAATATTTTCCATTTTGACTCACCTTGTATAAACGATTTGAACTAACTTTAAGAAAAGTGTTACCACTTTATAAAATTGTTGGCGTAATAAAATTACAGCTGTCCGAAACGGCGTCAAAAATCTAGGGTACTAAACACAGGTCCTTTTTGACGAAAAAATGGCCATAAATCCGAAGACACTCAGTATAGACCATAACAACCCTACATTTTTTGATTGAGTATAAAATTATGAATTATTATTAATGGCATAATATACAGGGTGTTCAAAAATATAAGTTTAATTTCCCACATATTTTTGTATTTAAAAATAATTTCAAATTGTTTCTTTTACTCTGCATTCTCTTCTAAAATAAATAATAAACGAAACATATTACATTGACACACTATTTGGAAACCCTCCAGATATATTCTCCTACATCATGGTTTTAATTTGATAATAGTTTAAATTAATTATTATGTTTAAGTCCATATCTGGAATTAACCAATAACGACGCTCGGAGGTCATTTTTGTAATGTTGATAAGACATCTTTTTTTTCAAATCAATTTGACGTGATTTTCGCACCACTGACAAATAGCGACCACTTATGATTCGAAAATAACGTCGCAGAAGCAGAATAGGAGATTTAGTATAGAACATGTGCTTATAATTATGTTAATAGCTCAGAAGTATAGTAGTATGCATGACGTAACGAGGGTTGAGGACTCGGTAATAAAATTAAGCGAAGAATTAATTTTACTTTTAAGTCGATAGGTGGCACTGTTATTATAAGCCGCATTTTTCCGTTTCAGATGGCAAAACTCCGGTGTCTCAGAAACGTATTGGCATACCGGCCGATATCGACATCACTGGAGGCAAAGACGCGCCTCCGGACACGTGGTCCTCCGAGGAAGCCAACCTGAACCCACCGTCGAGCGCTTCCAGCGGTTTCAGCGATGACGATTCGTTGCACGGCGACGGTGCCGCCATGACGATGGTCCAGCTGGTCGAATACGTGAGGGATCGAGGCCGGTACGTGGTGACCAAAGTCATGTAACCACCGGGGATACAAGAAAGACATTTTTTTTTGACAATTATTTTTCTTGGACAAAAATTTGTTCTGTTAAAAAGTAGTGGTTTAAAGTTCACAGGAAAACGCCTTTTGACGTTACGATACACTAAACGTCAGCCGGTGAGAGTTGTTAAACTAATCTAAACCTATGGTCTATGGTATTGTTGCGATAGTTTTGTTGTTAACGTTTTTGGGCCACTTCTAAGAAAAGCAAAAAAAATCAGCTTCGCTTTGTTCTTATTTTTAAAAAAATATGTAATAAATATTTACATGTTGGAGACGTTTTGTACGCTATATTAGTTTATAGGGGAGGTCTTTTAATCCTATTCTCGTGCTAATATTACATAGTGACGTCACAGCTAATTCAAATTTGCGAATGACTGTAAACGTAATTAGTTAGTTGGTGTATTTCAAAAAATTTCTAAAATTTGCTGTTTAGCCCTTCCTTTTTTTTAGGTCCGGTTTGATGCAGGAATACGCGGAGATCAGGTCTCGACCGCCCGACGGTACCTTCAATGTGGCCAAATTGAAGAACAACTTGCCCAAGAACCGTTATACGGACGTGCTGTGCTACGACCACAGCAGGGTGATATTGTCCGAAATCGATTGTGATAAAGACAGTGATTATATTCATGCGAACTTTGTCGACGGGTACAAACAGAAGAACGCTTTTATCAACACGCAAGGTGAGTGCCTCGCATCTTTGGGTGATTGTTTCATTTTTAACGGGGAATACACATGACATTGTATAATTTAAATAGTGAATCTCAGTTGTTACGGTTATAAATTGTTATATGAAAATCAAGACTGAGCCTTCAGCCCAACCCCAGAAATCAGTTCATCTAATCTGTTTATGTAAATAATGAAGAAAGGTGGCCCTAGGGCAGATCCTCGAGGGACTCCTTGTTTTAGATTTAAAGTGGATGAATCATTCGCGTTTAGACTAACCTATTATGTTCGATTTTTAAAATATGATTCAAAAAATAACAGTGTAGATTGAGGTAAGCCAATAGTTAATAATTTCCTCATCAAAATTTCATGACTGACGCAATCAAACGCCCTCGAAATATGGTAAAGAGACAGTAACACAGAGTCGCCATCTTCCAGACCATTTACGATCTCTGACACTTCCTTTCGAACTGCATGTTTAGTAGATTTTCCAGGCAGGAATACCCACTGTTCCTCAGAAAAAAAGGAGGTACTTAATAAATAATCTAATAATCATTGTTTTAGGATTATTTCGAAAATTTTCCCAAAAATAGGGACTATAGAAATAGGTCGATAATTGTCTAAATCCGACCTTTTACCCTATTTTGAATAATTGGAGCAGTTTTGCGCATTTAAACTGATCTGAAAATGAAATGAAATGAAAATGTGGCAGTGGTTAAAGAAACATTGAATAAAGGTGACAATAAATGCACTGAAGTGTGCTTTTATTATTCTACTATTAATATTAAAAAACGTCTTGACTTGTTGCGTTTTTTTAAACAGTTGACTGCATTCATTAATTTAATAAAAGGGAATTCAAAAAAGTTGCCCGAGTATATTGCATCGTTAGCTTCAAAGGATTGAGTCGAGGGTGGTTACAGCGTAATATTGGGCAAAAATTGCTTCAAAAGTGGAGGGAGGAGTTTTTAGATTTTCCAAAGTTGTCTCTTCCTCATCCTAAATTGTGAAAAACGGCTCAGTTCCTTACAGCCGTGTTATTTTTTCTCTGAAAAGAGGAATTTGGTTGATAGCGCCAATGGGAACCAGGCTAGAGACTTGGTCCACCCAAGTTTCTATCGTTCATTCGATAATTTCAAAAGGGCGTTGTCGTTTGCGCAGGTCCGTTACCGAAAACTACCGCTGATTTTTGGCGAATGATTTGGGAGCAGCACACGTTAGTCATAGTGATGACTACCAGGGTGATGGAGAGGGGCCGGCCCAAGTGTCATCAGTACTGGGAGACGGAGGAGGGCGCGGAAGCTTCTTACGGGTACTTCGCCGTCAAAACTGTGACGGTAGAAACGGATCCCAACTACACGGTGACCACAATCCAATTAACGAATAAAAAGGTAGGAGACGCGTCGACGCCAATGTAGGAGCTCATTTTAGAGTGGCGACGTGTTGTTTTGTCCGCAGACGGAAGAAGTGCGGGAGGTGTCGCACTGGCAATTCACCTCGTGGCCCGACTACGGGGTGCCGTCGTCCGCCAAAGCCATGTTGGAATTCCTAGATCGGGTGCGGAGAAAACAGGCCAGTATGGTGAACGCTTTGGAGGATATGTGGGCGGGGCATCCCAGGGGACCACCTATAGTTGTACATTGTAGCGCGGGGATAGGACGGACGGGTTAGTACAATCTGGAGAATTAATATTTTTTTAGCCTTTGGGGTTTCATGGATTATTATACCGAGTTATATCTTGGAAGTGTCAAAATTAAAATGGAAAAAGTACCTCGTAGCGTTTCAGAGGTTCTCATTCTCAAAAAATTAAAGCTAAAAAGACTGAAGGAAGTGTTTTATGAAAATGAATACCTATATCAACAATTATTTTTGTTTTATAATAATAATAATAATAATGTCTTTATTTGCACATCATACATTTTGTCTCAGAAATATGAGAACAATGTATTCTAGTAACAAACGGAACATATATACATATACAATCCAGAAATCGGCGAAGTTCAGTGATGGTCTGGCCACAAGTGACCAGACCACCCCGCCCCATTCAACCGCAAACATAATATGGGAAATATAACATAAAAACTAAGATATGATTTTTTCACTCTGCAACAGGTGATGCCAATCATTAATTATTGTTGGATTTCTTAAAATAATACTGAAAAATGTGGCGTTCAAAATTTGGTGGAGAAAAAGATTTAAAATGACTAGAGAGTGAGCTATATAGCTTCGCTATGTTGTAAGTAAAACTTCTTTCAAAAAAGGACGATCTGTGGCGAGGTCGTGTTATTAATCCTCTAAATCGAATATTTATATTATGTACATGGGATCTAAATATAATTTTTTTATGCAGATATGCCGGAGATTTAAAAAACGAAATTCGATGATAAAAACAAGCTAAATGCATGTCTCTCCTACACTCTATATTCAACCAATTGGGATCCTTAAGTTCATATAATATTCGCCCAAATTTGCGGATTCCGTATATCAGACGAAGACAAGAATTTTGCACTTTTTGTATTTTGTTTTTTTGAACCGCCGTTAAACAAGTGTTTATGAAAAAAAAAAGAATTTAAATTTTTACTTTTCGCGTTCTATAGGGACGTTTTGCACCCTGGACATTTGCATATCTCGACTCGAAGACTTGGGCACGGCCGATATACGGGGCACGGTCGAAAGGATCAGATCGCAACGAGCTTACTCCATCCAGATGCCGGACCAGTACATTTTCTGCCATCTGGCGTTAATCGAATACGCCCTGATGCGGGGCCACCTCCAGTCCGTCGATTTAACAGGTTTCGATCAGGGAGCCGACGAGGATTCCGATTAGTTAGGTATTTTTTTAAATTATTAACAGTAATGGGTACGAATTGTATGAAAGGTAAAAGCTCGCGCGCGCGCGCGAGGGTCGATGAAACTGTTCTGAAAATTTTCTAATATTCCCAGGTATTCTTCCTAACATTAAAAAAATTATATTTATGAGACGAAGTAGTAATGCATATGCAAAAACTATTAATAAGTCTCCGCTAGAAAAAACATTCAGTGGTGTTGAAAAATATTTAAAAACAAAGAAAAGTGGTAGAACGGAAACTAACCAAAACACTTTACCATATCCAGAACTTAAAAGAAGAAAAAGATAACCGTCGTGATGTTTTCTATGATTGTTGGGAATCGGCGCTTTTTGTGTCATTGTTGTCATTAATAACATCTTGTGTCTAAGTGTTTATGGCAGTCCCTATTTATCTGAGATTTGAAATGACAGGTTTTATTGGTTGAAATGAGAGGCGCACGCGCCTTCTCAACATTTTTTGATGTATAAAAATGCCCATATTATCAGCTAAATAGTTGTATAATAAAATCAAACTAAAAGTATTTGCTCGGTTAAATAGAAAGTTAACTGGTTGCTACTGGATAATTTAGGTCGACCTCTAAATTTGCAGACTTCGGTTTTTAGGTCGATGGGAACCTTGTAATAATTAAATTCTTTTTTCGTGCATATCGTTTCATCCCTCTCGCGCGTGTTCCGCTTTAACCGCGGAACGACGATGACGATCATGATGCGATGACGTTTTGACCACGGAGATAAACGTGGTCGGTGCGAAGGTTGGCCGATAAATGTGATTCAGCGATTAAAAATATTATTATGTATAATCAAAATAGATTTATTTTTAAGTAGTTCCTTCTGCGGTGCAGGAGAGTAAACCGAGTTTTGAGCGCCCGCATGCCGACTTTTATTTTTGTACGGTTGGTAAAACGGAAAACGAATGCGGGGTCTGTGACTCGATTTGAGTGTATAACGAGGACCGGCAATTAATGTCATCCGCAAAATTACGGAATATCGAGCTGGAAAAAAAAGCCACATGATGGCCACAACCGAAAAAAAAAAAGGGTCGTTCAAGTTTTAATGTCATCGTAACAGACCCAATGCTGTATGGTTGTTTGCTAAGGAGGCGCTAGTGATTTATTAGAACAAATTGGAACATAACGTCTTTAAACTGCAAACATATAGCTATTAGATAGTAGCCTTACTATAAAAAAAAAGTAGTACTATAAAAAAATTACCATTGAAAAAACTGGTGTAAGTAGAGAAAAAAGTTATACAGGGAAATTTAACACCGACATTTAATCAAAAATGAATGGATTTGTGTATTATTTTCCCTGCTTACTTTTTGGTGGCGATAAAGCTTTGACGGAAATAGGGGTCACCGATCTCTGGAGCATTTAGGTTTGATAATAGAAAGACATGACAATTCTAAAAGGAACCTTGTTAAAGAATAGATATATTTTATCCAAAAATTATTAATTGTACTAAATTTTTCGGACCTTTTGTATTGGTTCTCCGAGGATATAATAAGAGCGAAACTTCCGAGAATCCCGTGATATTTTGGGGACTTTTTTGGCTGAATGCGATACCAATGCAATGCGATGCAATTCCGAAGAAATTCGATTCGATTCGAATGGCGATCATGGCGGACGAAAAACACAGACGTTGCACCAATGAAAAATTGAACCCACTCTGGTGGTTCGAAATAATTTTGATAACATCATCAAAAATCCATCTAACAGCAGATTTGATCAGCGAATTTCGGCTTTATTAGACGTTATTCTAAATTGTGCAAAAGGTCGATTTTATTTTAAAGAGCATCTAGTAATTGCATCACTCTTCCATGCGGAATATTTCGGAGCGTATTGCAGCAAATTTCCTGACCATAAACTCACTTCAGCATGTTCATATTATTCCACACTCGATAAAGAACTTTACGAACTGAACTGTCTGAACTGAAATGACATTAAATGATGCAACACCTGTTCTGAAGTTTTTAATAAAAAATAATCTAGAAGATACGTTTAAGAAAACTAGAAACTTATAAGAAATTGTAATAACAATGTCCATGAAAACAGCAGAAGTCGAACCAAGTTACAAAGTATATATCTCTGAAGTAGAAACTTTTAATGTGCGAGTCTCAGTGCATGAACAGGAACTTTATAATTTGTTTAAATTGTTCATGTCATTAAAAAAAAATTGTATTCCCTTTAAAGAACAGTAAAGTAGTGCTTCTGCAGATGACTCTCTTTTGTGTGTGACAATTAGCAACCGTTCCAGAAATTCATCAATTGAGGATAGAAGTCCAAAAAAGCACGATAAAATTGATTTGACACAACCCCGTTATAAACTAAAAAAAACTTTAAAATTTTTTCCACTGTGTTATATATATCAAGTAGCTATATGATTGCAGACCATGCTTTAGGTTTACACCGAAATTATTTCTGTGGGTTTAGAGCTTCGTAAATCTAAAAATAGGGCTTGCCGCGTATGTGAACGGAATATTGCAATGAATGATCCAATGAATCAAAATTGTCCATAGGGGTTCTTTGGATATGGTGCCATTTTTCTTGCAATACATAGTTGTGGGTTTTTCAGTATTTGAATATTTTTAATGCAAATACCGGTTAATAAAAATTTATTGATATAAGAAATAACAATGAATTTCGGTTAAAACGATAAGCCAAAAATGGCGGCGCTAGAGCACTTGGGTCTCGTTACAGAATGTCGAATAATGCAAATTACCGTGAATTTTTTCATAATCAATGTGATGTGATTTAAATTAATTTTTCTCGATGTCGACGTCGTCCGTGGATGCCATTCAACAATATCAACGAAACAAAATAACCAGAGTAGACGCGACGTTTGCGGTTTGGCCTTACCATACGGCCAATCCTAAAACTAAGTCTGTGTTTAATATTATCGTAACAATTGCATTGTCTTTAAATGAAATATTTGAAATCTAATTGTAATTATTGTATAGCGTAAGTTATAAAAAAATATATCTCCCTCACTCCCTCCCTCTCTCGGACCTGAATATTGTAAAGTGCTATGTATAATGTTTAAACCTCCCCCACCCCTCCCTTCCCAAAAAAAAAAAAACACTAAGACTGTCCGTTTTTAAATCGAAATTGGTAACCTAAGTTTTTTTGCGTTTGTGGTTGTCCTTATTGTCCATTAGAGATCAATCGTGGAGAGTACGTTTCCGTTTTAGGATAATTAGTGCGGTTCTGTTGCGAAGTATTATTTTGTGTAACTATTTATGAAACAATTATTAATGGTATTGTAAATATTGTACTTTTTTTCCTTAATATAATTTGTAAACCGCTTTTTACATCACATCCGGCGTTTTATTTGGCGGGAAAGGAAATCGAAACCCAAGCAAAACGGTCAACTAACCTTTATTTATTCTTTGACAATATTTTTAAGTTACAAGGTATCAACGGAAACGGAGAATATGTACAATTTCGCGAGGAACTGTTTTATAGAATTTTGTTCTTGGCGAACGAACCTCAATCGAGTAAGACACATTTTACACTAGGTAGTCCAGCGGCTCGCGCATCCGACCAATTTCTAATTTCTTTCTATGGCACTCCGGAAAATGAAAAAGTAAAGTCGCCACAACCCAAAGATCCGTTTTCGGATACACGAGACTTCTATCTCGTACTAATACGTATTGCACGACAATCGATTTGAACTAAATTAACTACAAGGGGGCAGAGGAAAATCTGCAGCCTCTAGATGTACAGTTTTTCAAAAAGTACAGGGGCGAAATTTTTGAAACGTTACAACTAAACCTAACCTCGGAGGACGTGCTCCGTATAAGGACGTCGGGTGCCTCTTAATTTAATTAATAAATACTATAAATATAATTCAGCTACTTTAAATTTGCCTAACTCGCTAGTGCTCCGATATTGTTTAAACGTTAACGAAAACGCAGTGAAAATAATCGTTAAAAATGGAACGGAAAAGTCGTAATATATGTACAAATCGCTTTTAACGATATATTAGCCTTTTAGGTTAGGTAACCCGAAACAATTCGTTACGTAACGTAAGGGGTCGACATTTTAAAAGCACACTCGATGAAATCAAATTGCAAAATGGCGGGAGTTATTGCCAAGAGTTTCTCTCTAATTGACTATAGTGATTTGTTCAAATTCGACGGGCTAAAAGGAAAGTCGAAATTCGTAATGTGCTCTTAAAACAATCGACTACGGCGGTAATAGCAAAATAACCCATTAAATGTGTAAATGCTGTAACGCTAACGGTACTGTTAAACCTCTTTTATATAAACTTTGATATTTTCTCGTTTAACGTCTACAACTAGTTCGCGGTATTTTTTTCCGACCGGGAGCGTAAATTCTCATTTGGAATTTTAAAATTTAAACGTTTTTGCTAAGAACGTAAAAAACTAATATACAGGGTGTTTTTGAAAAATGTTCCGCGAATTTATAGGGTCAATAGAATATTAAAAAAACATTCTAAAATTGCTCCTTAGAAGATAGAGGGGGGCTTCTGTAAAAGGGACCTCGTAAAATTTATTTCTGAAAGGGTTTAAGATATCTAAGTAAAATTTAGACCACAAATGGAAAATAATTTGCAATATTTGCGCATTAAAATTACTTCAAATAATTTCCTAGTTCGGTCGGTATTAATTGAATTAGGCTACTAAATTGAAGTTGGCCAGTAATTTTTTCTTACTTAAAAAATATCACTTGTGCTTAAACAAATGACAATGTCCCTCTAAAAAAATGGGAACAAAATAAGTGGCATACAGGGTGTTCCGAATTAAATTTAGAAAATAAGAAAACTATCAATCGTTTTTTATCTTAATCAGTTTGACATAAAAATTGCTGCATTCTTATTATTTTATTTAGCCGTATGTGAGACCCCGTCATCTCGAAAAAATGTAAAATATTACAGTCTAGATAAATCCAAAAGTCTCCGTCATAGGCTAGCAAATTGTGGGCTCCCTAGATCCACCATTTATGATGTAAAGGAGCATGAGGACGTTACTAGTTTTTACAGCAACGATTTGTCAATGCACTTACTCCTTCAGATCTTTTAAAAACAAAACATTGGAATGATTTTGTTAAGTTTTTACTTTTTTATATGTATGACCGCGAAATTTATATTTATGTACATTTACATTTACAAAAAAATAAATAGTTTCAAGTGATTGGGATTGCTGAAGTTGTACTGTAACTCAAAAAGCAGTAATTTTTGGCAATAAACAGGAGTACCATTTATATGTTAAAAATAGCATTTTTGTCCGAATCCCCATAAAAAAAATTGCGAACAAAATAAGTGACACGCTTGTTTTAGCGATCTACATTCTACGACGCAAATAGGACCTAGCATATATAAACATTTCGACACGTTTCCTTTCTGAGACACACGGTGTTGAAATTCAAAGAGCAAAATTATTTTTATCCTACCGTACCACATTTGCATGGAATATTTTCAAAAAAAAAAAATGGTGCGCCACTGTATTTTCCAAATTAAATTTTTACCCAAACCCAAAAAAAGCATTTCAATCATGGCGATACCGCCCAAATTATGATAAAAAGATTAATAAATTTAAAAAATATTTCGCACCAAAAGATGTACACTTCGCAAAATTTCAATTAATTATGAAATTATGATAAAAAAAATAGTTTTTTTTAAGCTTCCACGCTTGCATCTCGGAAAGGAAGCATTTCGGGACATCCGGAATCCAGCTCTAAATTTCGTCTTGCAATATGCCATAAAAATTTGGTGCATTAATTTCGCAACACCCTGTGTAATCTAACTTTCGTTTCTTTTCAGAAAAAAAGAATTTTTTTCGGGCACATGTCTAACCTTATTTGTTAAAATTTTATTTGCCCTAGAAGTTGACGGAACGTTTTTCGAAACACCCCGCAGGAATGTTCCAAAGACGTTCGCGACGCGTTTCCACAACGCGTAACGACACGCTCGTTCGTTAACACCACTGAAGCGGGCTTCACCCCCGTTTCGATAAATTAATACTACGAATAGAAGAGATTTACAAAAACAACAAACGACCCGGTCCGGGTTAGCGTTCGTCCCTCAGTCAGTCGCCGCTGTCCAGCCACTTGCTCTCCTCGAAGATTTGCTCGAAACAGTCCATCAGATAGACGTACTGATCGCGAGAAGAAAACGCAGAGATAAATGTCTACTGTTACGATAAGGACGCGTCAAACTACTTACGTATGGTGTGAATATTTTCAGCCACCTGGGTGTCTTATCGGGCCTGTTGTACTTCAGACAAAACGCCATCCCCTCCTCGTCCACCTCCCACTGCCTGACCGAGTCCCACTCGAGCGCGACCACCTGGCTCTCGGCGGTGCCATCTTCGTGGCACGCGTGAAGCTTGATCCCGGCCGTACCGACCGAGACGATCACGTGACCGTCCTTCCTCGAGTCGCACGCGCAGTGCGGGAAAACCACCTCGCCGTAGCCGGGCAACTCGCGCGCCAACTTCAGGTACTCCGTCGCTCGGGTGTTGTCCTGGAGGGCTTTCAGTTGGTACAGACGTTCGCCGGCGTTGATGTGACCCCTGTTCACCTCGTCGATAGCCTGAGAATGGGCGGCAGCGACTTATTAAAATTATTTTTTCACCATTTGAACCATAAGAAATGATAATAAATCAGCTTTTCGAAGAAATTTCCCACTGGCTATTATAATACTATTTACAAATCTCCTGGATTCCTCCTGCGTCATTTGTTGATGAATACAACCTGTTTGCTGCTTCTGAAATTGGCTCGCATTTTACTTTGCACCGGGAGTTCAATTTATCTTGATAACATTTTAATTTAGCTGTAACTTTTTTGTTTTTTGAGATTTCAAGGTAAACAAATGAACAAAATGTAGGCTCAGTAGTCAAGTTTCTTTCCAAGTGATACATAAGCTTATATCCTATATTTTTAAATGGAACACCCTGTATATTATATATGTGTTTAATAGAATATCTTATTTCGATTACAATGATGTGACACACTTTATATTTTAGTCCACTCGTTTTTGACAAACCGGCAAAAATAGGAAATTTTTATATAATTTCAGAGAGTGCGACAAATAATAATATGTTTTGTTTGACATATTAGTAAACAACGTTGATGGTTGAATTATAGTCCAAATCAATATTGTTAAAATGGTTTTTCGCCAATTTAGCATCCCTGAAAGGAGTAATATGCTTCAAGTATACTTTCTGAATAATAAAAGTGCAACCGCAGCTCGTCGTTAGTATATTAAACTTTATCCAGACCGCCGAGCTCCTTCAAACCAGATTTTCCAAGGCTGGGAAAGAAATTTGCAGAAAACGGTAACGTATTAAATGCTAACAAGGTATGCCGGAATCATAATGTTTTAAATGAAGAAAATAAGGCAAACATGTTAGGATTCTCTGAAGCATGTCCAGTTTCCTCTATTATTACTAGAGCATATAAAGAGACACGTATTTCCCGGGGATCAGTCCACTCAGTTTCGAAAAAATATAATTTCGTAAAACTCAAAAACTAAGTACAGAATGATGTCAAAAAAGGATGTTTATATTTTTTAAATAGACATAATGAGAATAATAATTTTTTGAAAAAAAATTTATGGACTGAGGACAGTTCGTTCACTACAAGAAAGGGTTGTAATAGACAAAGTACCCAATAAATAGTCCTAGACAAGTACATGAAATAAAATCCCAGGGGTACCAACCAATTAATGTATTGTGTGGTGTCATAGATGGACATATTTTGGGTCCGATATTTGTAGATCAAAAGTTGAGATCGTTATTTGCAGCATTTCTCCGGGCACGAAATAGATAGAAGATTTACACCTAAATATATCAGGAGCTGATTATATGGCAGCAAGACGGTGCCCCTCCTCACAGAATTCATCAACAACCGACGCAGAAGGAATCCAGAAGATTATTTGTAAATAGTAATAAATCAAATTTCGCAAGTTTCTGGCATTTTAGTAAGGAGATCGCGGATCAAGCATGTGACCATGGTATATCCGACTTCTCGAAGGCTTTTGACTGGATAGACGCTGATATCGTTCTATCAAAGCTTGAGAAAAAAAGTTTTAGTAATCAACTTAACAAACTGTTTGGTTCATGCTTGGATTCTCGACCACGGTCTATTTTTTACAATTCTTTTGGAATGAGTGAGTAAAGTGAATAAAGTTGAGAGGAAATTTGTAAAAGCAGTGCATGTCAAAGAAATGATTTTATTAAGGGTTGCCTACTTTAAACATTACTCTGGATATTTTCATTAATTTGCCTTACTTCCTATCTAATTCTAAATTATAAGTCATCGAAATTTTGTGATTTTTCCTTATACACTATCATTTTAAATATCTCAGAGCAACAAATTCAGTGGAGTAATTAATATCCGGGGATCTGGCGGGCTATTCTATTGATCTTTTCTACCAATCCACTGTCGGGTAAATACAGATGGCCGGAGCGCTATCCTATCGGAACCAAATCTGTCTACCTAGCACGTCAGAGAGTATGAATTAAGTTATTTTAAAGAAATTATAAATATCAGGCTCCAGTAAGATTTTGATTGAAGAAGTCACTCATCGGGAATATTGTGTACTCCAACACATACAATTTTGTGTACTTACTGTATTATTAAAAAAAAAAGTGCCTTCATCACTAAACAGTATCTGACGATGCAAAAATGGATTTAAGTTGCTCAAAACGAAACTGTAGTCTGCGGTCGGGATCATGTTCCTTCAGCATTCTGTAGTAATGTAACTCTTGCGGATGATACTTTTTTTCTTTTAATACAGGGAAAACTGTTCATTCATTATTATATGAAGCCACTCCAGGGGATTATCCTCAATTTCTGATAAAATATTTAATCTTGTGGTCTCATTAGTTTTAGGATGATGCGACTGTAGACGATCTTTTACATGCACTGTTTTGATATATTTTCTATCAATTTTTCAAAGAAGGCTCTGTAAAATAATGACAGCCCTACTAAATAGAAACCTAGATGTCAAAAAATTAGTTTTTATGTGTTAATGTGTATTGTTATACAAATTGTTATTTATTATTTACATTAATTTTACTATATCATTTATTCGAAAATGGTTTTTACACATGAAGAAAAGTGTGACGTGTTAGGATGCCAAGAGAATGATACATAAACCTATATCCACAGCGCATTCCACCAGATGAATAATTTTTTCTGCGCCTTGATCGAATCTTGAGAAATAATGAAATTGTTTTTCCAAAAAGACGTGAAAAATAAGTAAAAACGTGAAAATTGGTGTTATTTTTAAGCATATCGTAGCAATTCTATTCAAGACATGGTCAAAGACTGAAACTTATTAAAAAAAAACACAAATTTTGCCTTTATAAATTCCCAACAGTTAAACAAATTACAAACTTCTTGAGTTCTATACCAATTTCTTCAGCCGCGAAAAATATTGAGTTTGATTATTCGAAATATAAATATAAGGTCTTTTACATCAATTGATGCTTTAAAATTAATTTATTTTGGTCTGATTAGTTCCAGGCTGGAAAATGTTTCTAATATCTATTGTTCAAAGTTCCGATGGGATTCTCAAATAATGTCCTGTTACAGAGATTGCCACTTCATCTTTAGTAATTAGTAATAAAAGTTAGTAATTGCCTAATTTTCTGACTTTTTTTGCTATCAAAATTAAACTTTAAAATCCTATATTGAAGAACGAGGTATGTGACAACTTTACTGTACTGTACTGTGTTGACAATTACTCTTCGTATTAAAAATATTAATGTCAGATCACAAGATATAGATTTAGATATTTTGGTACTTGTAATTAATTTATACTGTTTATTTTCATTCGACATTATTAACCTGTAATTAGAATTATTTGGTCGGGCAATAACTTAAAATAAATAAATAAATAACTGTTTTGCATCCGAAATCGAAAGGAAATTATTGAAATAACTCGCCTGCCAAAACACGTATAGGGTTGCCTGGGCGTCGGCCATGAGAGTCAGTTCCCTTTGCACCGAAAACAGCCATTTTCGTACCGACAAGCACGTGCTCGTCGCGGTACTGTAGTTCTGTATGTACAGGTTGTGGGGGTACTCGTTCGGTTGTAGTTTCCTTTCTGAAAAAAAAAAAATGGCGTGGGGTTTGATTTTCCCCCTCTTCATGCGATTTACGTACCGAAATTGTACTCGACGATTTCGAACAGATAAAAGTAATGCGCGATCTCCTTGCTCATCCCGATTTTGCGCACTATGGCGTCGTAAACTTCGTCGGCGTTGGAGCTTTTCTTGAGGGACACCGTGACCACCTCCCGGTCGGGCAAAAGTACCTAAAACACGACGACACTCCCGTTTATTTTTGTTCAAATTTTTGCGGTTTTTGCCGTACTTTCAAATCCACGGGGCTGCTGTTATTGTCGTCGTCCTGGTCCGTGAGGAACTCCTGCATTATTTCCGACTCCGCGATCACCCGCACTGCGCAGACCCTCTCGAGGTATTGTTCCAAACCGCGCCGACGCGCATCTAACTGCTGCTCGCTCAACGTAAATGGCCATTTGCCGGGTAATTTTGGAAATGTGTAGCCTGAGAAAATGTTTCTGGTAACGAATAATACGCTGACACGAAGGACTGACGGGACATGAACGGTTTGCTACGGGCGTCTTTTTTAATTGACAGTGATGATCCAAACTCAAAGATTAATTAATTTAATTAATCGATTATTTTACGTTCAACTTTGGCAACGTGTAGTCGTCCAAACAATATATTCAAGTCATTCGTCAACAAGAGTTCGAATCTTTGTCGGTAAGAGACTGTAAAAAATAAACTACAAATTTACAAAGGAAATGAGATGAATACAAATCGCGACTAGTTATCAGAAACATCATATTTTTACAGTCAAATTTTGGCATACCCAACGAAACCATAGTGAATTGTTTTAAATATTCAATCTACATTTTGCGTCCAATGTCGTGTTTATCATACCACTCCTAACGTTTTTGTGCGTAATCGAACGCCATCAAGCCAAGTGAGTTTATTTTTGTTTGTTTGATAATTAATCAACTATTGGAATATTAATAGTCAATAAATCGTGTTTGCTGACACACTTTGTTTTATTTTTTTATTTTTATTACCATTTCATAATATCTGAGTTTCACACTCCAATGTTATGATATGCGAGAATCGCTTACAGTGTTGCCAATCTGTCCCCTTGTGTGCTTTTTCTAGAACGAGGTGTAAGTCACGCGTGAAATCTAGTATACTAATTCTGGGGAATCCGTGAAATATTTGTTGCGAAAGTATAACGCATTTCTAAAGTTTTGTTACTGTTTTGAACACTTTCCATTAAATCATTTTCAAATAAGAAACAAATATTTAGAGAATATATAGCTCTTATTGGTGTAAAACTGTTAATTCCATTAGAACAATATTTATGCTATAATTTTATATTTAGGCATTCATATAGTGAGATAACAGCTCTGGTTTAAGTTTCTTGTTTTGTGCATTTCATTCAATTATGAATTCAACTGTCACTGTGGCTTCTTGCAACTATTCTCTTTTTCCATTTTCTTATGTATACTCATATAAAATTAAAATTCTTAGCAGCTAAGAAAAAAATTATGAAACAATATTTTGAGGAAAATTTCGGAAATATTATTTTAATTTTAGATTTTAATTTAATATTGCTACCGACAATACTCTTTCCTCCTCTTTGAAAAGAGATTTTATATGTATATTTTGTATCTATTTTTCAATTTCAATTTTCAATTTTGATGAGAAAAAAAATGAATATGGAATCTCGTTCTCAACCAATAACAACAAAATGTTATTAAAAAAATTGAGTTGGAGATCACCGTTTTGAAAGAAACTGGCGACAAATGCCGATTAACGGATGAAATTTAGAGGCATGCGCGGAAGTTCTTTCTCATTTCTATCATAGCTTCCCGAGGCGTATTAATTTTTCACGTATTAGGGTCATTATAGCTATATAAATTTTATACATAACCTAAAGATATATTTTTTTAAACCCGCGAAATCGGTAAAATCATTTAAAATTCTGGGAAATCTGGTGTATGGTCTGTTCATAGATATAAGTGACCAATTGCTTTTGAACGGATTATCCAAGGGACGTCATTAACATACAATGCAACAAGATTATTACCTTAATTAATTAATAATTTCCTGAATTAATAACAATAATCTTGTTGCATTGTATGTTAATTACCACACTTGGATAATCCGTTCAAAAGCAATTGGTCACTTTCTTATATCTATGAACAGATCATACCAATTTTGGATTGTAATTTGCCCCTCGGTCTGGAACGTGTGATTTTGATGTTCACATCTGTTTTTAAATTTTTACCATCTTACCTATAAACTCCTTTTTAAGATCACTGTGTAGTTTGGCGAACTCGCGGTACCTTCTAGAACAAAGGTGCCTGCCGGCCATGTATATATTGAACGTGACGTATCGTTCTCCGCCTCGCTCATTGTAATGATAGTCGGGAATACTGATTGGGAGAGATCGCTTTTCGCTGTAGTCGTAATAGACCTGGCTGTCGTCGGAAGGTTCCAGACGCTCCGCCTCCTGCAAAAACCTTGTCACCACCGCGACTCGCCGCACCACCACTTAGCACTTACTTGAGGGGAAACCGAAATCACAGTTAGTTTCAACACGTCGCCGCCAGATTTGATGAGGTCGACCACCTGCTTGTGCGTCGCACCTTCAACGTTCACCCCATTCCTGCGAACCAAACAACCCCTCAAAATTTCGTTTCTGGGTGTCAAAATATATCGATAAAGATTTGAATCTGTACGGGGGTCAAAGTAATCGTCAAAGATCAATTCGCCGAACCAGTAGCAAACAACTGATTATTAATAACCCAGACGGATAAATTTATTGACAATGCCCGATGCAAAAAGCATGGCGCCAAAAGCCAGTATGGAGGCGGAGACGGTTCAAATTTCATTACCATTATGATGACCTATTATCAAATAACAACAAATAATATCTTATCGTGAGGACGCAATACTTTCTTATCCTCTTCAATTACTCACTCAAAATACTCACTTGGGACCCGCATTGTCGCTGGGGGTGAAAATATGGCAACTCAACATTGCTTCGATTAATATTTCTGTCTATATTCTTCGAATTAAATGGAAAATATTCACGGTTGACAAAACGAATACTGCTAGACCAGCAGCTACTTTCACTTTGCAAAACGAGTCTATGAAAAAATACGTCTGTCCAAGATAAACAAGTTTTGTGTGTATGTGTGCGCGTTTTAACTGAGACGAAATAAAGGGGTCATATTTCTGTGATAAATCTAATAAGAAGTATGCACTTAAAAGATAAAATCGATTAGTTAATCTTCTACAACTTGCAGCTCTATACCCACCTACAACTCACCAGACCAAATATCTGCCATTTCCAAATATAAACCTTGCGTATACAACACGATCTTGAACTTCAAGAAAAGCGAGCTTTTTTTCATTGCCTGTTTACTCTGCTATTTATAGGAATAACAGGCTACTTTATATAATTACCAACGTTTAAGGAACTGAACCGACAAACTATGGGTTCAACAACGTTAACCGACCCGTTAAGGTAGGTAATTTCTTTATTCTTCTCTAAGAATCGGCGCTTAAAATCAGTTACAGAAACTTTTTATGTAGATTACAGAACCGATTTCAAGACATAAAATGAAAGCATCAATAATCAGGAATTTAACAGCTCCATTTTGGCAAATCCGATAGTCAAACAATTCAAAAAAGCACCAAGCGATAATTTTTGCATAATTTCTACAGTGTATTTTTCTTTTTAACGCCAATTGAAACGATTGTTATGGTTGGGTGGCAAAATTGTTTAAACCAACTTGGATTATCGCACAAAAAATGCAGAATGCAAAACTTTGTATTCATTTGCAAAAATAATATTTGCCCATTTCGAAATAATTATGACGTGAGGAAAGCATGAAAATAAATTCATAAGATCCTTTTTAAATCGGCAACACATTATATATATTAAGTAAATTTAATATACAATGTAATAAATTTGATGTAAACAGAAAAAACTCAGTAATTGTCTACACTAAATATCATAAACAACATATACGTGGTCGGCTTTATTGAAGGCTCTTTTATGATTTAAGACACTGTCATAACCTATTATCTATTGCAAATATCCCTTTCACTCTATAATTTTTAACATTTAACTGTTTCTTATTAATAAGTACCTGTTTTTGCTCAAAAAGTTAGATACACTATGGTACATGGCTTGTTCAAATATCCTCGAAAAACAGTCATAAAACAGATAGAGACGACCGACAGCATTTTATTTATAGCAAACTTTCCCAGAACCTATAAAAAACTCGCGTCGTTAAAAAAGTGCAGGTAAACGTTACAATATTAGAAATCAATATTTATGTAAGGGGATAAAAATAAAACGGCATACACTATAAACAGCATAGCGTTTCAATTACCTTGAACATTCCTGGCATTTACCTTACATATTCGTTTTTAAAAAATGCGAACGGATCTCCTCAAACGTAAACATAACCACAAAATCAGCTGTCACACAATCGTAAACGAAAATCAATACTTCTTAAAGGTATTGCACCCCGAAAAACACGACTTACACTTCCAATATACGATCCCCTTTTCTGATTCCTGCTTGTTCGGCGGCTCCTCTGTCCAAAACGGCGCTTACGTGCTGCAGGGGGGCGTAAAGTTCGCCGTTGATGCTCCTCAGTTGGCCTCCCTCGCTAACCTGGCCTCTAACGTTGAATCCGAAGCCAGTGTCGGTTTTATTAATGGTGACCACACGGGGACCAGACGGCAATTTCATATTGTTGTTTTGAACTCTAAAATCACGATTTGCGGCCGCCAAATTCTCGGCCATATTTTGACAGTTCACTTTTATCGAGCACGTTTACATGTTTCTGGCATATTACATCCGCGAGATTCGAACACGGTTCCCCCTCCAAGGAGGAGCACTGACCTTGCACCAGCACACCGGCACTGCTCCGCGCAGTTCTGGAATGTGAAAGATGTGATCCGCGATCGAGGAGCAACGAGCCGAACGAACCAGTTCGATGGTTATTGAAACGGATTATTTTAAATTGCGTTAATTTGATATCCAGATTGAGTTGCCGAGAGATCACAGACTACTGTAAAAAATCTGAGAAGGAACTTTTCTAATTACATAAATCTTTCTTAATGTGGGCGTCTGATTGTGGCGAATATGTTTTCAACTTTTTTTCAAATTCCTGCTGATAAGAAAAAGCTGCAAGGATATTGCAGTAAATGCGTTATTAAGAATGGTGTAAAATATTAACAAAAACTGCGGTGCTCCTCGATACAACCATCGTTAGCTAGTCCGCGGTGAGAGATGTATACACGGTTGCATACCCGTCCTGCAGACAGGGAGCGGGCGATACATTTAAATATTACTTTTTTCCATCTTTTAACATGTATGAACAATAAAACAAAAACCTTTATCCTGGCACAGTTCGACGCTTTTTGCATCACTACGAGCCTTTTCTGCTTAAAATGAATGTATCCTTCTTATCTTATAATCAAATTTTGCCATTCCATTTTCTCATCAAGTTGCCAGCGGGTAGTCTAAAAGGATGTCTGTATAAAATCTTCAGTTCCCGACCCATTTTATTATTTTGTCTCCACCGTCTGTCCAAACGATTGATCAAAGCTGGGTAAGTAACCTTTTATGTCCATACGCTCTTTAATTGATCCTGGAAACAATTTCAAAAATGATTTCTGCCAATTATTTCACTCAAACAAATATTGAGTGTTTGTAAAAATCCGCGAACATGTGACGTCATAATTCAGTAATTATAATTATATAGTATATGTATGTCTGTTCATGTTTAATTCTACCAGCTTCTTTTTACTGATTTTAACCACCCTAATTACACAGAAAAGATACCGGTTCGCGTTAAAACTATTAATTAGCAAAATTAAAAGGAGTCGAATCATTTGACGCGAAGGCCGTAAGAAAGGGGAATCACTGGCAATGCGTATTATATTTTAATTATAATGCAAATCACTTCCGAATAATCGCGTGCTACAAAACCAGTTTGTGCGGACACACGTTTCCTTCTACGGTACTTCCGGTTTCTTTTATTTAGGCATGTGTACAAAATGAGCAACATGTCTGTTCCATGTAATCACAGAAAACATAGTTTTATTGACAGTAGCATAATGATGTTGCGCCTGCAGTAAATTACACCTAATGTAATTAAATAAACAAAATCCGAAAAAAATTATACAATGTTGCATATATTATTCATATTTTCAATTTAGTTTTTGTTATTTCGCATGATGCATCTGCAAATTTTGTATATGCATATTTTTGTATATAAACTTAATTTGTAATACTTGGAGTAAACAGAGTTTCTGAAAAAATGCTTATTTCTATTATGAATTGGCAGAGTAGAGATCATTATTATGAAAACTTCAATTTTCAAAAGCAGATTCTAAATTTGATTTCACACGGACCACAAAAATCTTGAGCCTGATCTGCAGATAGTCGCCGCGTTCGCCCTTATTTTTTAGCGCAAGAAAGTCGCGCGTTCATTATATACGGAAACAAAACTGGCGAGATAAGAATAGAACCGCGGAAATAAACCGGGCATCCGGATCTCGCATTACCGGCCTTCGGTAACCAGTCTATTGTAAAAAAATTGACAGCAAATTATTTCGGATTCCACTTAACCGAGCGTCCGCATTGTAAGGTTCACGATTTATGCGAGCGGACAACTCGATCGCACCACGGATCTATTATTTTTATAATAGTATTGGTAAGGTGACGTCACAATCGTTTTAAACTCTTTTGCTTTCTGTTCTATGACAATTGATGTCAATGCAATCGAATATAAACAATCATAACAACAAATATTTATGTGATAAGAGAATGAGGCAAATCTATAATAGAATGGGGATTGTCTTTCTCTTGCTACATAAGTGGGAGAATGGGGTTTCGTTTTTTTCAATACTGACACAGCTATTCTTAGTTAACTTATTATTAATCAAACCTTTTCAAAGATCAGCGAAGAAAAGGCATACAAACTGACATACATACAAATTTTAAATAATTTAAATCTTTCTTACGATAACCTAATGATTAGAAAATTCATTGGTTAGAACGTAAGAATATTTATTGTGTCAGGACTATTATTTAAAAAAAAACTTAATGTACACACGGATTTACCTAAGTACATTTAACCATTTTTTAATTTCTTGAAAAAATATACATTACCATGTTATACACATGATAAAATCAAATTATCAGTTTATTACAATATATATTATTATGATTATTATAAAACATATACATCACATCCACCTAGCTCAAAGAAGGATACATGATAAAATGGTTTCACAAAGTATCCGCTAACAGAAGATTTACTTCCGAAAACCTAAAAAGGAGAAATATTGAGGAATAATATATAGAGTAGCACTTAGACATAATATTTCTTGGAGATACCTACATTTGATGAAACAATTCAAGGTATTCGAATATACACAACCATAACAAATTATATTTGCCATAATCATGGAATTCATGATACACTATATAATATGATGACATAATTGATAGTTGGATCCACCCAAATAATAATCGACGACGGCAGAGTACTCGGATAGTAATGACCAAGGCAAAAACTGTCAATATTTTCTGAGATTGTAGAAATTGTGGTTCTTAGTTTTTGGCGGCTGCTTTTAGGGTTTTGATTGTGTTATTGATTATATCCAAAGATTAACAACCGCAAATAGGATTTTATTCCCCATAGTTAGTAATATAATAAATACACTTGTCCATATTCATTTCATTTGTCATTTTATTTGTTTGTTTTGTCGTTTTAAGTGAGTATTTCATTAAATTTAAACCGAGTGTGACGTCATTAGCGTGATATTGTTAACTAATAACATTAGTTACGTCACAGGAATATTCACTAACGTTTAAAATCACCCATACATTCACTAATTATTCAGATTTGCGATATATTTACGATTTACACGAACTCATGCGCCTCTAGCGGTAGTTTAAAAAGCTAGCGTGACGTCAGCGCAGTTCCGGCATTTTTAAAACGGACAAACCGGATCAATGGCGGGAAAATTTCCGTCGCGTTTAGGCGTGACCAGTCCGCACCTGTCCCAAAACGTTTCTTTGTCTTAAAATGGTTTAAAAAGTTGACTTTCGCTAGCGAGTGGTTAGTTAGTTATTTAGCACGTGTCTCGGCGATAACGCGCCTATAATCCGATCCGATCCCAATTCATAATTATTTTTTTTACTCAATCGGATCGCGGATTCAAAAATATAGGTGCGCGCGCATTTTTTTTAAATTCTCGCTTTGTTTCTTTTTTGCACAGAAATGGTGTGCGCCAGGACTATCCTCCTCGTATCCGTAGTTCTGATGGTTTCCGTCGCGGCGCTGGCCGCGAACGCCAACGACGTCGGTAAGCCCAAAAACTAAGAGTCTGGCTATCACACCCTGAGCAACTACGACGGTAGTCGAGGGCAGATAAATTTGAAGAATTGAACTGGGGTGGCTTTTACTTGATGAAAATCCATTTATCAAAATAAATAAGAACTAAAAGTTCAGATTTTCACGAAATTATATATTTTTACATGACAATTGTTTGGACAACACCATGTCTTTATCAAATGTAAATCTTACAAACTACCTGCTACTATATATACCGAAAAATGACCCTAAAATCTTAATTAATGTTGTGAGAATTTAAGTTCAATAAAGGAGAGGTATTTACATTTAATTGATCGTTAAGCATTACATTTGAATGTGTCATTTTTATAATCTCCATGCCATCCAATAAATTTAATTTTCTACTTTTTGTAGCTGTATGTAAAATATCAAAATTGTCGTCAAAAATGTGGTTTTCTGTGTTTAAGTGTGTAGCATAATTAGAATTTAGACTATTGTTTGTAAACGCTCTTTTATGTTCGTTAATGCGTTTCTTGAAGGATCTACCTGTTTGTCCAATATAAATTTTACGACAAGATCCGCATTTCAACCTGTAGACACCTGATTTTTGAGATTTTGGACTCTTCGTTTTATTGTTTTTTAAAAATTTTCTTATTGTGTTGTTAGTTGTGAAAGCTATTTTTAATCCACATTTTGACAAATGTTTCGAAACTCTTTCGCTAGGTTCTCCTATGCTACTCTCGACAGAAAATTACAACAAAGAACTTAATATCATTAAACAAATTGCTCTGAATAACGGCTACAATCCGTCCATTATGGATTAAAAATTATAAATAAAAAACAAATCCAGACAACAGTAAACTCTATTTATCCGAAACCTAATACAGAACACGAACAATTTAAAACAATTACACATACATAGGAGAACCTAGTGAAAAACCTTCAAAACATTTGTCAAAATGTGGTTTAAAAATCGCTTTTACAACTAACAGCACAATAGAAATTTTTTTAAAAAACAATAAATCGAAATGTCCAAAATCTCAAAAATCAGGTGACTACAGGTGGACATGCGGATTTTGTCCTAAAATTTATATTGGACAAACAGGTAGATCCTTTAAGAAACGCATTAACGAACATAAAAGAGCGTTTAAAAACAGTCTAGATTCTAATTATGCTACACACTTAAACACAGAAAAACACATTTTTGACGACAATTTTGATATTTTACATACAGCCACAAAAAGTAGAAAATTAAATTTATTGGAAGCCATGGAGATTAACAAAATGAGACATTCAAATGTATTGCTTAACGATCAATTAGATTTAAATGCCTCTCCTTTATTGAACTTAAATTCTCACTGCAACATTAATTAAGGTTTTATGGTCATTTTTCGGTGTACGAGGGGGTACCCATAAAAAACCGGAATTGAATTTCCGCTCGCAGAGCTTGTATAGTACACCTTTCTGCCGCTAGGTTGTGGGTAGTACAACTTATTGCGAGTTCAACGCCACCTTCGTTTTAAATTTAACTTGTTTTGTTCACTTGCAGTGCCATTTTTTGTTAACGCTGTTTTTTTGTTATTTCGTTTTTTCCAAAGTTTAAAAGAACAACGTGCAGCTGTGAAATTTTGTTTTCTGCTCGGTAAAAGTGCTTCTGAAACTGTTTCAATGTTAAAAACAGCTTATAAAGACGATGCGATGGGAAAAACTCAAGTGAACTGCTCGAATCGACGAAAATATTGAAAAGATTCGAGAGTTTGTGCTCACAGACCGTCGACAGACAATTGAACAATTATCAAAGATTAGTGGGTTGTCTTGGAGCACGTTTCAGCGAATTTTAACCGAAGATTTGGGAATGAAAAGAGTTGCTGCCAAGTTTATTCCTCGTGTTCTGACTGACATGCAAAAAGAACATCGTGTTGAAACATGTCGTGCTTTGAATCAACAGCTTGAAACGAATCCAGATTTTCTTTCAAAGATCATTACTGGTGACGAGTCATGATGCTATGGTTACGATCCAGAAACGAAGCAATAGTCCAGCCAATGGAAGACGTCACTGTCTCCCCTTCCAAAAAATGTCGTCAGCTCAAATCAAACATCAAAACGATGCTGATTTGCTTTTTCGACATCAACGGCGTAGTTCATGCAGAGTTCGTTCCACTAGGTGAGACCGTTAATCAAGCTTTTTATCTGGAAGTTTGCGCAACAGTATTCGACAAAAAAGACCCGATTTGTGGCGGACAGGGGACTGGTTCTTTCACCACGATAATGCACCTGCATACACACCCATTTCTGTTAAGCAGTTTTTTTGATAAAAATGCCATGGTTCCTCTGCCCCATGCACCTTACTCGCCTGATCTCGCTCCGTGTGACTTCTTATTTCCCCGTATGAAAAGGGACATGAAAGGACAGCGATTTGACAACATTGAAGAGGTCAAGAAAAAAACGAGGGATGAGCTGTCGGCTATAGCCAAAGATGAATATAAAAAATATTTCGAACAGTAGAAGCACCGCTGGGACAAATGTATTAGTTAAGGTCGTTCTGTGATGATTGCGGTTTTTTTTGGGTACCCCCTCGTATATAGTAGCAGGTAGTTTGTAAATATTACATTTGATAAAGACACGGTGTTGTCGAAACAATTGTCATGCAAAATATATAATTTTGATAAACTTGAAGGTCTATGCACCTAGAGGGTGGACCAAACAAGTTGTTTTCTTATGAGAAACTCGCACAACTCTGCAAACGCTGGCCGTTAGAGGGCGTTTGTGAAAGCTTCAAAAATTGCTACGTCACTTTTTTTTTTAACTAAGTTAAATTTGGAAAAAAAGTTCTAAACAACTTTTTATGTGCAATTCGAAACTGTCACGCGAGTTGGCTTTCCGTTTGAGCGGGTTGTATATTTGTTGTTGTATATTTTTACATATTTGAAAATAGTCTGAAATTACTTTCTCCTATATTATTCTCCACTATTATCTTTTGCATCTAAAAAAAATATCAAACTAAAGTTCAGGATCAAACTCTTGACTGGAACCTTCGGCACTGTACTAACACACAATAACGCGTTTTACCACAAACCGAAACTCAATTTTACGTACTCAACGCGCGTTTCGCCAACCAAGTTGGCATCTTCAGGAGAAGATTAAAACTAAACTTAATAGAACAATCTTCTCCTGAAGATGCGAACTTGGTTTTCGAAATGCGCGTCGAGTACTTGTGTCTGAATTGCCTATATTTTGTTCCAAACGCAAAATCTACCCACTTCATTGGGTTCTAATGGCGTTAAAGTTTGAGAAACTCTTCGAATTGATACTTCTAGTAACTCTTTAGTGGTTGTATTCCCCCTATATGCAAAACCTTTGCTGGTCATCTTTCCAGCACCTCAAATCTTTTGTTTAAAAAATTAGGAACAATTCTTCCATTGTGCAATGATGTGCCATCTTGTTGGAAATATACATAAAGTATATCAGAAATATACAGAGTGCTCGTCGTAATTGGAATACCCTGTATTAATTTTTTTCCTTTAACTTATTTATGAAAATAAAAATCCATATCCTTTGAGACTTTTTTGAAAATATTTCATTAAACTGTAAACTCTTCAAATAAGATAACAAAGAAAACGACTTGTTTGGCCCATTTTGTACAGTAGCTGACTGGGTTGATGTAATATAGTGCCAGAAAAGGTAAGGAATATTATACCATTTGTAGGTAAAGTTATCAGTTGTCTTGGCCGTAAAACACATTGATTTTAATTATACGTTTTTGTTCGGGTTGTGACGGTTAAATTCTACCAGCCAAAACTCTCCTCACGTTAGTAACTGAAAGTCAATATTGTCTCGTTCTTTTTCACAGGTGTCTGTATACGAAACTGCGCGCAGTGCAAGAAAATGTTCGGCGCGTACTTCGAAGGACAGCTATGCGCAGACACCTGCGTCAAGTTCAAGGGCAAAATCATACCGGACTGTGAGGATATCGCTTCCATCGCCCCTTTTCTTAGCAAATTCGGCAACTATTAACGCGAATGGGACGCCATCTTTTCGTCAGCGGTCCAATATCGCACTCGACCTAGTTCATTCCAGCTTCAGCTTCAGATTGCAACGTTGGCCAGATACTTCAGGGGTTTTATTTACATCGCAGATTCAATTAGTTAACGAATCACAGCGTTTTTTTGATTTTCAAGATGTCGCTCGGCAATTTCCATCCGACTCGTAGTTTGTATAAGTGATTTTTTTTTTGCTGACCATTGCGTGATTTTATCTGTGATTTCGTAAACTATATTCGTCTATAGGTATTTATTGAAGCATTTCGTATAAATATAAAATATTGTATAAGATTTGCGTATTTATTAGTCTTAAAAATCAAACTCGAAAACCTTCATTCGTTAATCGGAGCAACGATTCGCGTTTCTTGGTCGCAGTTGCCAAATGGTGCGACTTTTCTACATTACTGCGATTAGACCACCAGTTCTTGTAATAACGGGAACGTTCTGGCGGTTCCTTTGGGTAATTAGACAAATACTCTGAAAAGGAAACTCCGAAATTAATCACGCAGATATCAACATTAATAAAAAAAACCCAGATAGAGAATAATAATACTAATGTATTGTGATTTTTAATTCTTGCACAACATTGTAAACAAAATTATTTACATACTTACATTTGAACAGATGAAGTCTAACTTAAGATCTTGATCTCAGTTACTGAACATGAACCATTTTTCGAATATCACAATAATATTGGTAGAACAATAATTTATTTAGGACAGATACTTTTGTAATTCCAACAAATGGAGCTTAATTTTGGTTTCAACTAGATTCAAAATATTTATTATAATTAGAGAAGCACTAAGAACACGGTTGATGGTACCTTAGAAGTTCACGGCGAACGGTACATTGGATTGTTCCGAAAATTTGGTTAGTTTCATAAGCGGCGATGCTCTATCTATTAAAAATATTTTTAACCCTGCGGTGTTGCCGGTTCTCCGAAAAAGTAGCATCAACATTGACATTTTAGAAGAGAAATTTCGATATACCGTTCGCCGTGAACGTCTAAGGTACCTTCAATCGTGAAACACCCCGTATACGATACATATATGAAAAACAGGTTGCCTTAGAATACAACACCGCGTGCCAAATCAAAAACATGGTACCCTATATTGGAGCACTAAATTCCCTTTAAAATAAAACACATTACATTGTCTGAAATAAAAAATCGGCGCACTATTTAAAAAAAATATATAGACGTAGAGGGAAAAAACCTTTAAAATCACTAGTTTTTGAATTATTCAAATAAATAAATTTAGGCGATTTTCAAAAATATCGAGTATCTCACACACGAAATTTGACAACATTGCGAAATAAACTTCAAAACGACACCGAAAAAGGTGCCATTTCTCTGTTACAAGGCGTAGCATTAGCAGACTCAGGAATAGCTATTTAGTATAGATTAAACAATTCTTCAACCAATTTCTATATTCGCGCATATATTTTGTAAAAAGTCAAATAGCCGTAAAGCAGCTTAAATTCGAAAATTCTCTGGTAATACGAATTGTTAAAAGAACTAGTTGATATCGAGCAAGCCGTGAGACGCCTGGCGGAGAAACGTCAAAATCAGACCGAACGTCAGGCCGTCGAACGCGATTCGCACGGGTGTATTCGTCGAGACGCGAAACGTCCACTTCTATGACGTCCGATTTGGACCCGAACGCTCCAGTTTTTACCCCGCCTCCGAAAAACTTAAGCAACCTGCTCAAATGTGTACTTTCTTCGCCGTCGTCAGCGTCGAGTTCGTCGACGCCGGAGCCGCAATGTTCCAGGTAAGTTAGCGGTTATTTTTTTGACCGCTCGTTCGAGTAGTGCTTGTGAGAGGACTGCGAAACATATTGAAAAGAAAAACAAACGTTGTTTTTACAAATCGCAGACGCGTGTCAAATTAAATGACGTTATATTTAAATGAGGAGCAATTGTCAAGGTATGGTCTGTTCATAGATATAAGAAAGTGACCAATTGCTTTTGAATGGGATTATCCAAGGGTGGTCATTAACATAAAATGCAACAAGATTATTACCTAAAGTTTCGGAATTTAAATTCAGGTTAAATTGTGGTCCGTAATAGAAAATAATTTTATACCTACCTGTGTTTAATATTCTTTGGTTTGGTATACTACTTAGTTTAAGTTTATTAGTAATTATTCCTATTTCCTGTGTAATACAGCGTGTGTTGAATCGTGTGCGAACTATGAAAAATATGTGCGAGTCTAGTGTATCTCAGGAGATGATCCCGCCGTAACTAGAATCCTCGATTTCCTCAATTCTGAAAAACTGTCAAAATCCAGAAAGAATTTCAGATTTAGTCATTTATTCAGATCGTTCTAATTCACACTGCCTCCGTTACTGCCACATCCCGGGTCAGTCTGTCAGCCATCTCAGTACCGAGATTGACAAAATTACTATCTGCCAGTTTGATCAATGTTTCTCGGCAGACAAGTTGCAATCGTGGGTAAGAAATTTGACAGCCCCTGGAAATATACAGGGTGTTTCAAAACAAACTCGAAAACCTTAAAGTGGTGCATCCTTGTTAAAAATAAAGTTTTGTTATATATATGTTTGGCAAAAAGCGAACCATATCTTAAACACGAAAATCGAATAACATAGAACAACAATATGTTACGAAAACACAAGCTCTACATTTTTTAAATGATTTAATTAGACTACCCGCTTTATTCTTCTTAATGAAATTGATAGAAAAACTTACGCAATGATATGGAAAAAAGGTTTTTCCATATATGGGTTTATTAGAAACTTTTTCGTCTGCTTGTACTAATATTCATGAATTGTCTTCTAAACAATTACATTTGATAATAACTAATTTTTTATCTATTTTCGTTCTTAAAATAGAAAACAAATACGTTATTTTTTTTCTTTATTTTTCCGCATTTATTTCGAATCACCCTGTAGATGTGCTTATCCGAGTATCCTCTATTAAGTGTATGGTGAGAACACCTCAATATCGCATAAAATCTTTGCTTGAGACAGATCAAAGGTATTTTTGTTTCTCCAATATATTACTCTGCACATTCACATTGTATTTCGTAGATACCTTTATGTCGTCCCGGATTTGTATACAGTCTTAAATTTTGAGCTATTCGACTGATCTTTTTTGCGATTCCCTTCACTTATGGGATCACCATTTCTGTTACTTTCCTTTTACAATTTGATAATATTTTGTCGATACATTTTTGAGTGTAGCCGTTATGAAAAAAAAAACTGCTTAATTATGATTCCTAGTTTGGTTGCTTCAGAATGGTTACACTCAAAATTTAAATACTGATTGATATGTGTAGATTTCCCGATAGAGCCATTATTTCTACTTACTAGGACATCTTCTATCTAAACCGTTAATTTAATGGATGTAAAGATTAAGGTGGTTGAGAAACAAATCCTCACTGTCCATCGGTTCCATTACAGAAGTGGCTGGTTTGAGTGGAACATTATCTTTGTGGATTTTTGGAAGTCTATAAAGATGTGGTGGTTTAGTATGGTTTAGTATGCGTATGTTCTAATATTTTCCGGAATATGGCGTCTGCACTTATGCAGTGCTCGATGGATTCTTCCCGCCTGTAGAAAGTGTTTCGTCGATTTCGTGGTAGTATTCCTATACAGCCATGATGACTGTGATGTTGCCCTTGCTCTCTGTTAGAATCTTGATGTTTTATGTCTTTGGTGGCTGATTGTTCCTCTTTGGTCGTATTCTTCTGCTCTCCAAAACAGTTCTAATTTTCCATCGCAATTCATCTATTTCCTAAAAAATAGGCTTTCTGGAAAAACCCCGCTTGAAATGACGAAGTGATTGATTTGATTTTAAATCTAATTTAAAACTAACCAAAACTCAGAGAAATCTTGCACCTGCCATACATGAAGTGCGTTATGATAATCAAGGTTACCTCATGATTATTCATGCTAATAAAGCCCGAACGAGATGTGGAATCTGCCACAACCACACAATTTACGTTTGTAATAAGTGTAATGTGCATACTTCATCTTTTTTAAAATATGACCAAAAATGAAACCGGGTGTTACCAGTGGCGCGCTCACTCACCATAAAATATTATGCCTTTTTTTGATATCAAATTAGGATCTATTTGGAAAACAATCTACTTGTAGGGTTTTTCCGTCGAATTTGAACTTTCTTTTTAATTTTTATGTATAAATTATATGTTACATCTTATGTGGCCCAAAACATTATTTAATGTTTTTTCCCAATGGTTCGTTTACGCATCAGTATTTTTTTGTATGTTTCGAGTTTTTTTTTTTGACACATGTAATGTATTGTTAAGTGCAACAAAATAAATAATTTCAGAACAAAGAAGGATTTTTTTATTTTTTTTATGCTTGGGATAATATGGGTTAAATTAAGTGCGTCTTCCAAATTATAGTTTTCCTGCCTATGTGTATTAATAAACACTCGACCATCAGATACACGACGATTAGGAAACCTTTTACGATACTCTTGTACCACCTCTACGGCTCTGCCATTGCCAAAGCCGTATACAAAACGAATATCTGCAAATTTTCTATTTGAAACTCCATCAGATTTGAATAGCTTATTTTTCATCAACAATCAACCTTCTTTAAAATGTAATATTATAGTTTATATTAGAATAATTAGCTTTACAGTTGATAATTTCATTTGTCTTTCGTTAATAAAAGGATTTATAAGAACAATCCAAGTAAAAACAATTTTTTACCAACAATAAACAAAATCGAACGCTGTTGAATAATTGCCATTTAATTTTTATTTACCCAGCAACACAAACAAATGAAACGCGTCATTAACTTCCAAGGCTTACTAATGATTATCTATCAAGAAACTTCAGATTTCTGCAGTCCAAATTACGAAAATTACCTGAAAACACTGAAGACAATCCAATAATAAGTTTTAGATCGTTAAATAAATAGTTTAATAACTGTACCAAATTTTATTTAAACATATTTACGTGTTTCGAAAGTATTTACAAAAAATCGCCATCGACTCTTCAAATTTAACACCCTGTATGTTTAAAACAAAAACGTTTTGGACCCTAGTTTATATGACCTTTTATCCTTATGTTGGGTCCCAGAATACGTGGTTAAATTATTGACGTCTAATTAAAAGTTCATAACGCTCACGTTAAACAATTTTTTTCCCGTCTTGTCCCAAAAAAATTTTTTTTAGAAGCTTTGCCAAAATTTGGGTAAGTTTAGTTAAAGTTAGTCAAAAATAAATCGACTCAATGGTTAAAAGTCACAAAAAATAGTAAAAAGCTTAAGTGGCCCGCCTCCCCTATGCCAATTTTATCCATACTATCGACTCGCGTTTAGTATAGTCGCGGTTCGTTAACTAGGTTCTTTCATCCGGTTCTTCGTTTCGCAGATATTCTAGGAAATCTGCGAGGCAGCAGGCGCTGAACGCTACCTCGACCCCGAGACCGATTCTCGGGGCTAAACTCCCGTTTCCCAGACCGATATTGGGCAGGAAAGAGGACGACACGAGAGACGAGGCCGAGGAGTATATCGGTAAAGAATTCAGGAACATGAACCGTCGATTCCGGAGGGTGAGACTGGAAGACGACGAAGAGAACAAAGAGAATCGCGACAATCGCGATAATCGGAAGACGGAAACTTTCGTTTAAAATACCGCTTCCTCAATTTATTGTGGGTTTAATAATAATTATAATGCGTTTGTAATCTAAAATGAGTTTTCGTTAGCAACGGTTCTGCCGGTAAGTATATACTACAGTCGCGTCGTATTTAAGACGCGAGTTTACGCGAACAATTGACTAATCCTAATGGCCGGATAATTACCCTCTTCCCTTTTAAATTTTTCGTTGACAATTTCCGACCCGGTCGTTTCGGGTTTGAAAAAGTTCGCGACCGCACGCGAAGGTACGTGGAAATCGTCGCGTTTTCTGGAAATCGTAGTCGAAAACAGAAATGTCGGCTAGATTGGCGGTACTGGTCTTGTAAGTCTTCAAATTTGCTTTACTTCACCGTTTAGCACAAGCGATTTTTTTGTATTTTTAATATATATTTTTTTTAATTGTTTTTTTCTCATCAAAAATTGCATCGTCAAATTCGCTGTTTTAAAAAACTGGCCATTTCACATTAGCACGTAAAATATCATCATCGTCTAAAATATTACAAATTGAAAAGTTTCGAGAAATCTTTTAATTTAATGAAAAATTTATTGACAACTATTCAGAATATTTATTTATTTATTTAATTTATTTTATATATTTCCAAAGTTTTATAAGATACGAAGTAAAGGAAAAATCGTACTAATTTCACATAGTTTTCTTTTGCATTCAGAATTATTCTCAACACCAAATGGGCAATAATACGAGTTATCATTTATTTATTTCATTTATTGCCATTTTTTTTATTGTTAATATTTTTAGAAAAATTGTTTTTTCTTATCAAAAATTGCATCGTTAAATTCGCCGTTTTAAAAAACACACTTCAACGTATTTCACATTAGCAAGTAAAGTAAGATCATTGTCATAAAAAATATTACAAACTGAAACTGTTTCATTCATCAAATGCTACTAGTTTCGAGGAATCTTTTATAATTTACTGAAATATTTATTGACGACTATTCAGAACACCAAATTTGCAATCATACTATATACTAATTATTTATTTTATATATTTCCAAAATTTTTTAAGATACGAAGCAAAGGCAAAATACTAATTTCACATCCAGTTTTGTTTCATTCACAATTATTCACAACACCAATTTGGCAATAATACTACTTATCATTTATGTATTCTATTTATTTCCATTTGACTTAGCTTTAGCATTTTTTTAATTTTTAATATTTTTTCGAAAATTATTTTTTACTCATCAAAAATTGCATCGTCATATCAGACTTTTTAAAAAACTGGCCATTTCACATTAGCAAGTAAAACATCATCGTCATCATCGTAATACAAACTGAATTTAATTGAATTAAAAATTTATTGCTAACTATTCAGAATACCAAGTTTGCAATAACATTATATACTAGTTATTTATTTCTAAAGTTTTGTAAGATACAAAGCAAAGGAAAAATCACACTAATTTCACATCCAGTTTCCCAAATTTGCAATAATACTAGTTATCATTTATTTATTTCATTTATTGCCATTTCACTTACCAGAAAAGTTTAACATTCAATCGAAAATGTTTTCGCTGCAACGAAGCAAAGGAAGAATCATACGAATTCAACCATTCAGTTTTCTTTCCTCGCAGCCATTAACAACAAAGCAATTGAAATACGATTTGTCATTTTATTTATTTTGTTTATTTTCCTTCATTAATTCATTGGAAAATGTTCTCGCTTCAAAAAAGCACAGGAAAAAATCATACTAATTTCACCTCCTTATGAGCAACACTAGGTTTGAAATAAAACTAGTGATGATTTAATTATTTTATTTATTTCCATTTCACTAACAAGCTATGTATAGGAATTGTTATGATCGAATCTACGATAAGAAAGTAATATATTAAAGTGCCATAAATATTAGATATTGTTAACAAATAAAAAATTTAAAAATTGTAAGCATTAGTATTGGGGTAGTATTAATATTATTTTATGGTATTGATGGAAAGTCTTGTAAGTCTTTCCAACGAAACAGATTATAATAATAATTAAGAAAAAAAATAAAAATAAAAATTCCTTTAATACCAACATGCACGAAAATACCCGTTTTATTCAAATTGCAAGATATAATTTCCCCATAAAAGTTTGATTAACATAATCATAATATTAATTAACGCTAGGAAGAAAGGGCAAATACAAGGGCAAAGGGAAATGGTGGTTTTGAAAATACATTCTATCACTGCGATTTTTAAACAAATAAATGAAATTTCGATAGTCATGAAAAAAAGTTGATCGTACTTTAGTTAAAAGTGTATTAATTATATTTCACTCAGCTCGTCATAACCTCGAAATGGATTCCAACAGAAATAGATTTTAGATTAAATTTACTTTTTTGTCTAACAGTTCGACGCCTCTATATTTCCTTGCTTTGTCTCGCAAGTTTGTCCTTATATTCTAACATTTAACATACCCCTTTTTTTTGGAATTTTGTTAATATTTTTGGGATTTCGAGAGATTTTTAATTTGAGGCGAAGATTTAGATGCGTTGGTGGTGGTTTTAACCAACTTAAGTCTAGTAGGAAAGTCAAGCCTCAGCAAAACATATGTTTTTATAAAATCGCACGTGTTTAGCACACCTGTCTAAAAAAAAACATTTAAAATTCATTATTTATTCTAATAAAAATTGCATTTTTCTCGACACCGTGCAAGCCCTATGCAATTAAAACATGATTACCATTATCAAACAAACACGAATGAAACCAGCCGTTGTTCAGCTTGTCTTTCCTGACTGAATACGTTGACGTTTAGTGGGTTGGTCACACAAAAGTCACCAAATTTCTCCCCAGAATTGGAACTTGCAGTCAAGAAAAATGGCTTGGACCGGTAAAAATTGCAACTAATGTGTAACCCGAAGGTGAACTTCCTCTCGAAGTGAAATCATTAATCAGTAATCTGTCTTTGGCAGATTCATCAAAATTAAAAGTAACCAAAACACTCACACGAAGATTCAGTTCGTAAAAATTGCTTGCAACAATTGACTGGGTGACAACCAGCTTTATTTTAGTCAAAATGCTGTATTGCACTAATGAAACAAAAATAACTGCTTATTTGTTCGGTATAACGAAACAGTCTTTACTGGCAACAACGCGTTTTAGATCAGTGGCGTTCTGCGGGGCCCTGGTTCCTAAACCCAGGAACCCGGATAATCAAAATCTGACCAAGAACATTATCCCGGAAGATTACATCAGAGGTACGCTAGTCCTTATAAGCATTCACTTTTAAGCATACTACATTTCTAGAAATTCGTCCACCCACTTTAAGAGGCGAGCCCATTTTTGTCAATTAGAGTTGTCGACATTAACTCCATAAACGTGGAAGACATGGACTTTAGGTAATGTTAGCTGTCGAAGTATCTGATACGACAATTTGCGATAAACCTAAATATAAAACAAGAGTGGATATTTAAGGTATTTGGTAATTATTTCTAGAACCATTAAGAATTTTAATACATTCGTATTAATAAAAATAGGCTTGTAATTAAATGCATTAAAGAACGAAATAAAATACAGGGTGTGCCACTTAAAAATACTAATGAAAGCTGATTTGGTGTGCCACTTAAAAATACTAATGAAAGCTGATTTAAAAGTAGCCATCTTTGTAACCAAATAGCTGGAACAAAACAGATCAAATTTTTACCAAGCGTGCAAAACGATCTTTTCATATTTTTTATTTATTGCTTCTGATGTTAAAGCAAACAAAAATATTTTGGCGCGTAAGATAGAACACCAAAACGAACCTAAAATTTACAAATATAAAATTTATGACGTCACACTTTTGTGGACCGCGCTGTATATTTTAAGATATGCATTAACCCACATCCTTCCACTTTTTTTCTACCGTGTAAGTAAGAATCTGAATGTCTGTTGCACTAATGCAGGACCCAGTATAAATATCAAAAATTTTTGAAAAAATTTTATGCAAACAGCTATTTAACTATTGCATTGTTAATAATGTCATACCCGAGTGTCAATGTGGGTTTAGGCAATATTTCAGTACTTCGGCTGGTTTAACAGACGATATAATTTCCGCTATTGATAAAAGAATGCACACAACGCTCATACTATTGGATTTTTCAAGGGCTTTTGATGACGTTAATCATTCACTTCTATTAGCAAAACTTGAATATTATGGACTTTCACAACAGTCGATTGATCTGGTAACATCCTACTTTTCTAACAGATTTCAAAAAATTGTGTGTAGCGGCGTGGTTTCAGAGCGAGTTCAGATTTTGTCAGGTGTTCCGCAGGGCTCTATCCTCGGGCCTCTGTTTTTCATTATTACACAGCTTTTCACTTTAATCACTCTGATTACGAAAATGCATCCAGGTTATATGAGTTACAGATATATGAGTTACTTGTTTTTTTTTGTTACATGTAATTTTCTTTTTCTCCTATATAGATTCTTGTGAAAGAATAATATTGTAGCTCCCAGTTTCTGTCAGTGTATATAGTTGTTTTTTTTTATTTATCTTAAGTTATATATTAAATATTATATATATATATATATATATATATATATATATATATATATATATATATATATATATATATATATATATATATATATATATATATATATATATATATATATATATATATATATATATATATATATATATATATATATATATATATATATATATATATATATATATATATATATATATATATATATATATATATATATATATATATATATATATATATATATATATATATATATATATATATATATATATATATATATATATATATATATATATATATATATATATATATATATATATATATTACAACATTATATTTAAATTTTCTCATATAATTTAAAAAAAAACATTGTGCAATAATTCGACGATTGTATTATATTGTGAACATGTATATGTTTTTTTTTTATTTGACTAATAAAAAAAGCTGTTTATTATTGTTATTATTATATTTGGTTATATGTCTTTATATCGGAAAGCTATATTTTCGTTTCGCTAATAGTTAAATGGCTCCTAAATCGTATTTTTAAAAGAATGGACATGTTTTTGAAACAACAATGGACGGACGCCCGCATAAGGATCCCGGAAGAGATGTTTGAGTACGGTGACGACTCGGTCACGTTTCCGTCTCAGTTCTTCGACAGCCTCTGGCAGCCAGACCTCTATTTCCTCAACTCTAAAGTAGTAGGTAAACTGTAGGTTGACTGCGACGCCGCGACGTCAATTTACGAAAACGTAATCGCAGAAATTGCGACGCTGACGCACAAATTTTCCTCCGTCACCCTCTACCGGAACAAAACGATTAGGTATTCCGCTAGGATGCACGCCATAGTGGCTTGCCAGATGGAGTTCCAGCACTACCCGATGGACACCCAGATCTGTCCCATCAGCGTGGAAAGTTGTGAGTACGTTTCGGCATTCGGAATAGCGAAAAATACCGTGTTGGTCCCCTTTTCAGTCTCCTACAGCAATCGGAAGATGATCCTCAGGTGGTCCGGGGCAGGGGTGACGATCAGTCCCGAGCTGAAGCTTCTGCAGTACAACATTTTGCCCCTCCACCTCCAAGAAACGCATTCCTATACCAGTGAAAAGAATGGTACTATCAGATAGAGTTGTCACATCTTACTTGTCTTTTATTTTTAGGTAACTTCTCGAGATTGGTGGTCTACTTCCGATTCGAGCGCCAAATAGGTCACCATCTGATCCAGACGTTTGCGCCGTCGACTCTAGTCGTCGTGCTGTCCTGGTTTAGCTTTTGGTTGGACCTGGATGCGATTCCGGCCAGAGTGACGCTCCTAGTGACGTGTTTGTTAACCCTGGTAACCATGTTCACCGGCCTGAGGTCGGATATTCCAGCCGTCGCCTATGTCAAGGTGCGATGACGTAGACCTGCGCGCTTGCGCTTACCTTTTAGGCATGCTTTTGCGCAGGCCCTCGATCTGTGGATGGCTGGATGCATGGTCTCAGTGTTCGCTACCCTCGGAGAGTTCGTCATCGTCAAGGTTCTGCGTGGGAAGTATCTACAGCTCAAGGAAAAGGAAACCCAACTGGCAATGGTGACTATGGATTTGTTGGGTTATGGGCAAATCATGTGTAATTAATTTTTAAAATTCAAGTTTTTCATTCAAACTGTCACTATATTCCAAAGCTTTATATCCTAATGATGCAGAAATTTGTTTTTAAGAAAACGGCAGTTACGCCATGGACCGGAGCTGATGGAAAAAGCAAGAGCAATATGGTCGGGTACCCAAGAGTCGGCAAGAAAGGGTTGATAACGGTCTATTGGAAAACTGTAAGTCGTAAAAGAAATGACCAAATTCTATTCGCCTACCTACGGTTTTTCGGTTCTAGAGGCAGGGAAAAGAGAAAATTATGTGGAAGGAGATCGACAGGGTGTCGAGGATAATTTTCCCGTCTTTATTTTTCATGTTTTCGGCCATGTACTGGTCCATATTGATAACGGGCAGCAGAGACATAGGCGAAAATTAAAACCACGATTCTTAATATAAAAGTCGTTTTATTTCTAAACTTATGCATATTTACAAAGGCGTTTGAGGTTAGGTGATCGGTTAATCGAGGCTGTTAGGACAGCCGTTGTTCCTTCGCCATTTGGCCCTGCGATTTTGAAACCAAGTTTTCACCTGGAATTAAAAAAAAATGAGGCACTGCATATTCTGTTTGTGTCAAAACTACGCAAGAGCTTGAGCGAGTTTTCTTTGAATTGGCTTTGGCAACATTGTACAATTTTTACAAAAGAAGAAGAAATTCAGAGTCATTATTTAAAGAAATTATCTGAAAATAAGATTATTAGTGAAAGGTAATATTAAAAAACTGTAAAATAGATGGTGTTGTTCACCTTATGAAATGTATTTTCTTTTGTAGATATCGGATAAAACTGGAGATGGTTTAGATCAATATATTTGTGACATGGATAGTTAAGACTATTCAATTAATGAAGTTCCAACAGTCAATGTGGGTGTACTTTGAATCTGGATTTGTTTTTTGTTTAATAAATGATTTTTATTAAAAACGAATCATTTTGTGGACATTGACGATTATCATAAATTGAAACGTTAATGCTTTTTTAAAAACGAGGGACAAGTATATTTGAAAATGGATCATATCAAGGGCAGATTCAAATATTTGTGAATTGCGATTTTGTTATATGGTTGGGGAAAATATTCTTGAAAGAAGGAATTTATCCAAATTGAGAATTTGGGCATGAAAATCCAAAAAAATGCTACTCAATACCATGCTGAAGTTTTCAATGTTTCTTGGTATTGTAACTAATGTTCTGATTCAAAATAGATTTTTAAAAATTATAATCTATGTGTAATGGTTCAAATTTGAAAACAATATTAATTTTTTAAAATAGGCATTTTAATGGTATAAATTTTGAAATGATATGCCAAATATTTAAAGTGTTAATTCAATCTTTATTGGTTTCTAATGGTTAATGTTGCGGTACTCGTAATAGGAACATCATGTTTTCAAATATTAACAAATGAACCATGCCATATTCAAACCCAGTATAATATTTCCATTTAAAGCATTAAAGCATTAAAGCATATGGCGGTTTTAATATTTTTTGTTTCAAATCTTTAATTTTTTTGACTGCAAAACTAAACTGTTCCAATTTTAGAGTCAACTCATCCATCGCTAACTCCGCTTGAGTAGGTTTTCCAGTAGGTTGATCTTTATGGATTTAGTTTTTCTTAGTTGTTTGTGCTTTCGAATAGCTGGCACCGCAAAAAAATTACGCGATCAAATTAATATTAAATTTAAAATAATATATTACTATACTAATGAAAAAGAATGTTTTTATACAATACCTACCAAGTGTTAAGGAAAGCAAAATATCAAAACTTAATAAGCATTTATATTTATCGTTATTTACTTCGTTTGTTAGCCCAGTCATATTGAATTTCAGTTGACAGAACCTTGGATTGGCTAATTGCCCGTGGCATTTGACAGAAGCAGGTTTAACCTCAACTCAGCGGAAAACTACCTGGTGTTTTTCAACAACAGTTGCCACACTTGTTTCTTTCATGTATTTTATCGAAATGATCAACATGTAGATCTCTTTACTGACCTGTCTGTCCGTGAGTTTGAGCGCGTGCGCCAAAACTTTCCTGTCGTCGGGGCTGAGATACTTTTGAGACGAGAACTTGTTCTCCAACGCCTTCGTCTGGCTGTTGGAAAACCGGACCTGGTTTCTCCGTTTCGAGTAGTACGTGTGGGCAGAGAAATTTTGAAAGAGGGCGCAGCCGTATGAAGGGTGGGGGTAAATCTTGTCCGGGTACAGGAAGGGCTCCGTGAAGGCGTGGGGTGAAATCGCTACGAAAGTTTACTAATGTGGGTCTAAAATTATGACAGTTTTTTGTTTAGTTATTGCAGAAGCATTCACATAATTTTAAAGTAAAGTTAGGTTACACACAGGTGATCGGAAATAACGAAGAATGGATGTAGTTTTGCTTTGGACTCTTAGAGCTTAGGTTTCAGTTTAAATATTTAAAAATCCTAACCCCAAAAATCAATTCGGTAGGAAAAATTCCTGGATTTTACATATGCGTCGCGATAACAGCAAAAACATATTTTTCACAAAGCAAAATAATCCGATTTTGAAATAAAAATGAAAAGGAATCTATTAATAACGTATCGTGGCAATTTGAGACCGTTCACGTACGTTTCTTTGATCTGGGCCTTTGTTGAAATAATAACGCTTAATACGGATTTAATTGCGAAAACATATTTATCAAACGGGGAACGGCACCATGACAGGTTTATTGCATTTTTGGCATCGGCTAACAACCACGCTTGTTGGGTGATCGATTGGTGGTTTAAACAGCGCGCATTTACCTTATTAAAAGGTAATTTAGGATCATAATCAAACGATATAGGATTAGGGAACAAACACGACTAGCACGATTGTTATTGTTAATTGATATGGTAGTTACCAAAGAATGTACACCGGATGTAAGCAAACGCAGGTTTTAAATAAACAGACGGAAGACTTTTTATTTGAAAAATCGCTCGAAAACAACTATCTAAGAAATTTTGCGGCGTAGAACATTGAACTCAAACTATGGGTGTAACGTAGGCTTTGATTGTTTTCGTCGGGTTTGCTGTCAATTTTGCGGTAAACAATTCCGAAATTTTGACTAGAAAATTGATTTCAAAAACAATTCCGTGAGAAATATAGCTATACGCAGTTTCGGGTAGGTTCCTTTTAGCTCAAATGTTGTTATAGGGATTGATTACATCGATTAATTTCCAACTCGTCAGGTGGATTAAAAAATAAGTGTGGGTATGTTCCATTGTTCTTATTTTGAACAACAGCATCCACTTTAATATGAATTTGTTTGGTCTCTGCATGCGTATCGTTATGTTAAGATGTTTAGAACGAGGAGTGGACAATTTTACACTTTCCAATTAAGCAGATGCATCATAGAAATGTTTTTTTTTTTTTTAAATCAATAGACTGCCTAAAAACCGGACTGCTGGACATTTTAATAATTGCATTTACTCACTGAAGTTCTATTTATTGCAACTTCCAAACATCTCAAAAATTAGTGACTTTGTTTAAAGAAGTGAGTGATGTCATTTTCTGAGTGGTTTGAGTTGAATTCGTGTACAATTTATAGCGCCGCATTCTCGTTTAAAGAGAGCAAATCCGTAACATAGTAATGAATGGGATATTGATCACGTAAAAATAAGACTTTTTTTTTTTATATCAACACTGGTGTTTGATTCTGCTCGTTTCGCACCTACAGAGTGTTTTTTTGATTTACTGTAAATTTATCGAAGACGACTACAGCAAAAAAGAGTTTGGACAACTTGACCACTATCGTGGCTATCGGCTATTGCGGCAATACTTTTCTGAAAGGAAACTGCGCGCCACTGACTTTTTTTCTTTGATAGCAAAATTAAGAAGTGCGTATTACAAGCTACCTCTTGATCCTTTGTCGATTTTCATTACTATTAATTAAAACCTAATCCGCGAAAACTCTAATATGATGTGTTGCAGTGATAGCCCATGCAGTCTATGCGCACGTTACTGGTCAAGTTGTCCAAGCTCATTTCATAGTAAAATATAAATAATAATAAAATAAAAATAATAAAAGTTTTAATAATTTTGAACCGCCAAATTTTATTGGAATTTCTGCAGTCGTATTGGATAAAGAAAATTTAAGATTAATATTCATAATGGCGTACCTGTAAGTATTAATCAAATATGGGCTGCACTAAGTTACGCGATGGTTTTTTTTTAATATAAGGCGTTGGACACGTTACTAATATCAAAAAAATTGTGTGCTCATATTTAGAGTATGCATCAGAGAGAGAAAACAATATTTTTTCTACTATCTGTTCTTTCTTATCTACTGTAATATAAATCACAAAACAATTTTTCGCCCAAAAATCCACGTTTTAATTAGGTATTTTCTTTGTGAAAATAAAATAAAATTTGAAATTTTTCGAAATTGCGCAAAATATGGTAAACTGCAGAAATTAGAAAATTCTAACCAACTTTTCAAATAAGTAAGAAAACTGTTGTGTGTGTCGGTTTGGAAACATAGGAAATAGTGACACAACATAGTTCGGCTAAAGTTAATTAATTAAATATTATAGTGGCCCTACTACGGTAAAAACTGATGCGCCACAGGCATTACCTTTCTTTAATGACGTCATTTTTCGTTATTTTTCCTTAATATTTGTCAACTGACACAGACAAAAAATCTCGTTTGTCTTTCAGATTATATTCGTCAAAATTGATATTGAGTTGTTGTGACCCTTTACAACTTTTAACTTTTGCAAGACACCGCGAAGATATTCTCAGTTTTGAATATGTTGGCTTTTTTTCAATTGCAAAAAAAATCAAGCTAAAAATGGCAGCTTCAAATACAACACAACTTAGCTATGCAAAAATCATAAATAGCACTGTATACGTTTAGGTTAGGGATCATTGCTAAAATATAAATAATATAAGAAATACGTTATTCGAAACCAGTGTGACCTTATTTCAGAAAGGTAATATGCCAACTGTAGATATTTTCATACAACGTAAACAGCAATTTCTACACTGCCACAAAAATGCCGAACGATCTGTCAGCGGCCATGTTGTTTGTTGAATTCCGCAAGGCAATTGGTTAAAAACACGACTTTAATTCTCGCGCATGCGCATGTCGTTCTCAAAATTTTTTTCATCGGCATATTCAGGGCCTCTATATTTCCACTAGCTGTATGGGTTAAAGAAATACAAGTATTTGGATGGCACGGACGTTCTTAAGTGGGTAAGTAAATATATATAATACAAATAAAAAATGTATTAAATAAAACTAACCACGGCTGATTAAGGTAAGGTTTTTTTTTTCGCTAGCTATATTTTCATGCAGATATTTTAATGCGCTTAGTTCGAATTTTAATTTTGTTCCACGTAATAAAACTTCGACCAGAATTCGCTAACGCTTACCGTTTTCGGACACGGGGAACACAGCGTTGCAAAAACTCCCGGCGGCACTACCGTGGTGGATACTTCGTATCAGCAAACCGTCCATCGAGTTCTTCGACAGCGCCACGTCGTAGTAGGGATAGGCGATGCAATCCCTGCCCGAGAAAATGTCTTCCGCGCTACCTTCGAATGCGGGCGAGTTTTCTTCCGCGCTTATGGTCGGGTTCTCGTCTTTGGTACTGTCCGGTATCGCGTTTTCCCTTTTTTCGACTTTGTCTTCTTTCAGTATGTCAGCGATTCGGAAAGACATGGTGAGCGGCGTCGTGTCTCTACGTTTTTGCCGCTGCCAAAGTATATCGTAAATTCTCCGAAATCGGGCAATTGGTGTAATCTTGATTGATACTGATATACGATCCGTTGCCCGTGGAAAATGGGTACCCGAAAACCGCCGGATTACGACACGTTTAATGATTTTTATTGGGATGTCGTAAACCGACTATATACGCTATCGAATCTCGCGTATTGTTTAATTATTATTATGTCGATGTAATATGTGTCGTCTCGTTTTGGTCATTATCGCGAAACTATTGTTTCCGTTTTGTAAACGATAAAGAACCGCAAGTGGTAATTGCTGAACGCAGAAGGTAAAATACCTAATCGAAATTCCATCAGCTCCTTATTGCTATCCGGGTAATTTGTTCTCAGTTTTGTGTTTGGTTAACCCTGGTGCAAAAGGCCGGTATTCGGTATTATTTACAGGCATATACCATGACCAGAAATATTGTGTTTTTACAACCGACCCCCATGATTAACTTTGCATACTATTTATTACTTCAAAACCTCATCACCTTATAGAACACCCTGCCGAGCAGACCCTTACCCCTAAGCATTCCAGGGCCGTCCTAGGAATCTATCTACGTACACTAACAAGCAGGATATAAGTATGTTTTTAATCTCTTTGGCCGAGCAATTCTTGAAACTTGTACATAAAAACATTAGTACAAAGTAACAATTTATTACGTTCTATTTCATTACATTTCTACGTAGTATCATTATTAATGTACAAAACATTAATTATAATAATATCGATGTATCAGTTACTTCAAAAATCGCCACTATCTAGTTCAATGATCGACTCCGCCACTAATCGTCCTCTATAAAGATTTTCTTCTTTTATTACCCGTTCTTCCCAGCTAGAGCAGTACTGATATTTTAGCTACCTCTTGCCGAATTATGTTTATGGTACTATCATTAAATTTTGGTTTGAACTCAGATCAAATCATCTTCAGGTCTTCATTTCAGGAGATGTTATGACAGTTTTTAAATTACGAGGGCACTTTCGAAAGTTTAATTTGTGAAAGTATATTTAACACTGTCTGGGAGCACATCAACGTTTAGAAGGCAATGGAAAGGCGGATCTTTTAGCAAATAATTTCGCCAGTAAATTATATACTAACTGAATCCGAAGAGGGGGAATTATGTGCAAATGAGCAGGAAAATATATCAGTGGCCTCTTAGACAAACATCATTGGTCGCACTGTGCTAACCTCCCGACAGTCTCCAACCAGAAGACCAAAAGAAGCCTGACCAGTACAGGGAAATTACAATACTAATATTTTTTATTGGATTCTGTGGTGGAGCATTGCACACGGCGCTTTAACCTCTGTTCGCTCCCGACAGAATCCTATGTATTCGTCCCAAAAAGTTTAATATCGGTTTCCACGGTGTGGATTTAGTGTTTTGAGTGTTCAGTGTACGTCTTAAAGTGATAATCGTCGTCGGCCCCGTCGTTTTTCCCCGTTCACGCCGGTATGGAGGCCGGATGGGCCCGGATGGTCCGCGGTGGAAGCGGGGGGAAGCCGATTTTTTTGGTATCGGTCAGAATCGTTTTTTGCTAGTTGAGCAAATTATTGGTTATTTTTCTTCTTTGTACGTGGTGGTCATTGACCAGAAGCGAAAATCCTCGACGGAAGTCGGCAATGGGCGAATGATCCTAGCAGTCTTGCCCAACATTTTTTGTGAAACGCATAATTGAATTGAATTTGAATATTTTTTATTCTTTGACATTTGACGAAAATCTACCGTCCTCCGTCCTTCTCCGAGCGCAGTTTTTAGATGAGAAAACAGAAGTCTCTTGGGGCTAGATGTGGTAAGGCCGATGGTCAAGCAGTTCCCCATGGCAACCGCTGAGGTAAGAAACGGCGCGTTGTCTTGATGAAACAGGTTTTTCTTGCAAATGTGGCCGTTTTTCCGCAATTTCTGTCCTCAGCTTGTCAGTCTAGAGTCCAACTCAACTTTAATTTGCGTAGGTGTATTGCCGTTCAAAAACAAATAGTTTGTAACAGCTCTATACTCAAACGACTCTCAATTAAAAACCACGAGCCCAAAATGGCTTAAACTTTGGTAATCAAGAGGTCCACTACTACGATCACTAGCCATCTTCAGGTTGAGGTCGGAAACTTTTATAGTGACCCTCGTATTTTCACCAGACTCCAATGGTTGAGAACTCTGTGCATCTGACGAGGAGGATTGTCCATTGTCATTTTCAAAACTTGTGCATTTCTCCTGCCTCGGCTGTCGATGAATCGAGGTTGCTGACGTTTCAGCTGATCTGAACTGAACCAGTTTCAGTTTTGCTCTGAAGAAGCCAAGCCAAGCCAAGAGAATGATTGGCGAAACGCAGGACGAATCCAGAATTTTTCTAAATAATATTACAGTAGACTGTAGATGTTACTTTGAAAAAATAGTCATTGTGACGATCTGAAGAGCTCCAGACAAGAATATCTCGAGACATATCTCGTGCAACACAAAACAATCAAAAATACTTGGACTTAAGCCCGTGGAGGCAAGTCGGGGGGAAAATAATAAAGTATCGAAAGCAACCCCCGGATAGGAAAAAAAGGTATGCAAAAATTTGAACGCTAGACATAATATTCATTGAACAAGGCCTACAGCCTCCCTCGCATTTTCACCTCCATCCTTCTTTCTCTATGACTCTGTTGTTAATTGCATTTTCCACTCATTTTGTCCTCTTCCTTTATTAATAGATGTATAATTAAAGGCATAGAGGAGGCTCCCAGTAGGCCGAATACAGAGATAGAAGAGAGCAAGAAATGGGATGATAGGCGCTGCGCGGAACTGCATACAATAAGTTGGTTATACACACGCACTGATGTCAGATAAAAGAAATTTCATTTTATGTAAATTTTAAATACATAACAACAATATATTAAAGCAACACAGGCTTATTTAAATAACTATCGGAATGTAGTTCATTGTTTCCAAGTTATATTGTGTATTGTGTACGTCATAACAATAACAACAGAAACTAATGAAAACTAACCAAACACTTGCTTATTTCTGAACAATGCATAAAGCCAACAGCAACAGCTGAAACTGAACTTATGCGCAGTGTTCATTTATATTTTGTCTTCTATAGATTTGCATTCGTGGTTTCAATCAGTTATTTGCAATTTGAGTGGTATTTGTGATTATCTCGTAACTCCACAGTTTCTTTCCAACCCAAGGATGTTTTGTCTCTTTCTTCTTGAGCGAATCGGCTTGTGTACTTTAATATATTAGCCTTATATGAGTATTGGCACTATGATTAAAAGCCCTTCCTTTTTGGCCTCATAGTGGTTTCTATCCACATTGTCTCCTGATAATAACAGAAAAGTTTCAGTTGGATCTGTCGTTGATTAATATTTCTCCATCTTCCGACTTTTCAATCTGGGATATCATCTAGTCAAGGCACTTTTTTAGTTTTTCCGAGTTTTTATGAGAAAATCCATTGCCAGGAAGCCATTGTGTCTTCTGCTCTTCATTTTCTTTGCCATGAATATGTTATTGTTAATTTTTACTGTTTAAACCCAACACAAGTACATTCTTGTAACGGGCAATTTCAACGAAAATAAAACGCTACAATGAAAAAGACACCTATATTTATTTTTTTATAGAAATTATAATAAACAGGAATAAATTTTAAATAAAAACCTATAAAAATATTACACTGGACAACGACGGTGCTAAACGAAAACCAAATCGTCAAGCTGAGGAAAAAATTATATAATTTCGACGACAATTTAAATATCCATTTCGTATCCCGTTCGACAAAAAAAATTGTTCGCCCATAACTTTGTTCGTTAATTAACTATTACATAGAAGTTTGCAAATCTGGATCACTTTTAATTGCTATTGATTATATACAAGTATACATTTAAAAATTTATTTTACAACACAAAATACCAAGAGCACTTAAGTTCATCATATTTAACCGTATATATTATATATATATATATTTTTTTCTTTACAAACATTTTTTTTGATCTCTGTGACTATCAGTATCGAAAAAACCCTGCTCCTCGACAGTGACTATATTTGTTTCCTTTCGTTTTTGGTACAACATTTTGTGACTCGTCATTATTTACATCGGTCATTTCTAACTAGTTTCAGTTTAACGGATATATATACAGAGTGGGCCGTCCGGAGAGCAAAAAATTCCACTATGGCGGGCATGCTGATTTTTCGAGGTTAAATAAAATAATGACGCACCACCCTGAATACAAAGTCCGTCACAAACTTTATTTAAATATAGACAGGAGATAAACAAATATAAACGTTTATTTAGTAGGGTAACGGGGAGACAAGCATTAGGTTTTACGTTAAATATGGATTGAGCTAGATAAAAATTTATATTTGTTCACGTATATGGTAACACATATATTTTCTTCAATTAATATCACAAAATTTGCTTAAGCCAAATTCATGGACACTCCATAGAGGAAGAAGAGGTGATTTCTGGGATAACATGCGGAGCGATGGGCTTAAAAATATCAAATTATTTCCCATGTAGGCATTGCTTTATTCCATAAAAAGGTTTTTCCTTTTAATTTAATCTTGGTGCAATGGAAAAGTAATTTAAATGGTACCTTACATTATTCCTAGTAAACTATAGAACCCCTAAAACCCACTAACGTAAATGATTTGGCCTCTCGAAAATGAATCTGAGATCACAAAACTTGGAGCTAATAAAAGTTACTGCCAAAACGGACAACAAAACCTTAAAATTACAAAAATACTTTAAGGTTAGAAATAATTTGGTGATATTAATGGTGCTCACTGACTGACGCGGTGCTGAAGGAAAGCCAAACATTATTTTGACAACTGACCAAGGTTCTGTCAAATAAAGAGACACCATAATATTGACGTTTACTTTATAATAGTTTTACACTGATGATTACTTCATTAAGTATAAGTTTCTTCCTGAAGTTCTTGACTAACTTGCTTTATACTGGAAGCTAGACTCGTCAACTTATTTTGACATCGCAAATGTCATTTAACAATGCAACCAACTCACAGTATTTAGAGGTTATGGGAGACTTTTCTTGTTTTGGAATAGTGCTTATTTATAGTAGATTAATAAAAAATATACAAGAATTAGAAGAAGAAAACTGCGCTGCCCTTTGGTGCTGTTCATTGATTGCTGTCTATATATAATATAGAAAGGAAATGGTGGGTCAGGTTTTAGCTAGAAAATAGAAATGAAGGAGAGTTAAAATTTGTTAATAATTTTTTTTTCAAACTCCCACAGGCTGCTGTAACACTTTTTACAAAACTTCTGGATTCCTGCTGCGTCCAACTTGCTAACGTTTCGCCAATCATCCGAGACGGTGTTTATGGTCGCCCATTAAACCCGGCTCCCCTCAAAGAATATAAAAGCTTTGAAAAAGCAAACGGGATGATTGGCGAAACGTTAACAAATTCGATTCAACAATAACCGACGCAGAAAGAATCCAGAAATTTTGTAAAAAAAAACGAGATAGAAATTTTCGAGATGAGATAATTGCACATGATAAACTTATTGTCATTTTAAGATTTTGTCAGGGTCAAGAGTATACTATTTTTGCAATTATTTCAAAAGTTTTTGTAAAGTAAAAACATTTTTATTGTTTTATGACTTCGATTATAATTATGTTTTGTGGTATGGTAACATAACGTTGCTTTTTTGTTAATTTCAACCATTGGTGCCGTAATAGAATAAGTTCTATAATTTCGTGTATAAATTTATGAAGAACTTCGTGAATTTGTTTCAGTGTTTGATATCAAAATGGTGCTTGAAGAAATTGTCAGTGTTAAACTGGTCCATTCATTTAAGTCGAGTGTGGTAAAAAAAAATACACCTGCCGCCCCATTCTTCAAGCGAAAGCACCTTCCACGTTCGATGCCCTACAAGGAATGTCCACTAAAAGAAAAGAGACATTAATAAAATCTACGCTAACCGCGGACTCATCGCGCGACTCTCACAATTCACTCGATTTTATTTGTGCCGTTTATTTTATTCTTCGAATGTGATACAAGTGCCGCAAACAGAAATAAAATTAAGTGAGAGAATGGCGGGTCGATGCGCAGAACGCTCTTGTGGCGCTCTTCGCGGGCCGATTAAACGCGAAAACTTTAAAAAATGAATTGAGTTAACCAAAAATTTGCGCGCGCGTTTAACCGGCGCGACCCACCGTCATTTTTTTTTATACAATTCTTATTTACACCACGTGGTCGTAAAAATTTCAACAGGCAGTCCTTTCCGGTTTGGGGTTTATCAACTTGTGACCCTCCGAACTGTCCGAATCACTCGTCTCCCCATCGCTTATCGACACCACGTTGTAATTGCACGTCACCTTCGGCTTTTTGATCGACACCCTACTGTAGCCCCTCTGCTGCGGCTGCACGCTGTTCCTCTGCGAATCAAAAGCGACCAACTAGTAATTTACATCTCAGGTCCGAAAAAATACGAATTACAGTATCAAGGGCAGAGCTGACAACCAAATAATACATAAAACGAAGGTTAGGATGATCATATCAATTAATTCCACGTAACAAGAGCGAGAGGACAAAAATCTGTGATCACAGAACACATCTGATAGGGCAAAATTGGTGATCATGAGTGTTTAGGGCGCGAAAGACGAAAATATTGAGGCTTGTCAAGTCTACTTACGATATAGTGCCAAATACAAACGAAATATTACCTGCAACACCAGAAAAATCACTATGAATAATATGATGACGCAGAGGCACGCTATAATAGCCAGACCGGTGATGAAATTGAAAGGGTTGACGAGTTGCAAAGTGGACACCGGCTGCGCCGACAGCAACAAAGCCTCGACGTTAATTTTCCGCTTGTCCTCCACTATTTTGCATTCTATAATCATTACAAATTGAAAATTTTAAAAATTTTAGATTTAAGTAGACAACATGAACATGTTTCCTGCCTAATTGAACCCACCTTTTTTAGCACAAACAGAAGAATCTGCATTATAACTTGATAATTATAAGGACTTGTAACAGTTATCAGGATCATTTATTTTTATAGATACCTAGCATTTGTATAGTTTGGTTTAATACCTGGACAATTCCTGCAGGCGTAATGACACTTTTGACAACCGTATTCCGTCTTGTAGTAGTTTTCGGGACAGTCCGGTCTGCATTCGCCGTGCAATAACAACCAGGCTTTGGGACAACTGACGCACTGGTCCTGAGCCGGTCCGCTACAAGTCTTGCAGCTCATGTAACACTTGAGACACAACCCTTTGTCGCTGTAGTATCCGGTAGCGCAGGCTGAATGACACTCGCCGCTTTGAAGCTGCAGCCCTTCCTTGCACTGGGTGCAGTTTGTTCTGGCGGCGCATCTCGAGCAAGTGTGCAGGCACGGTTCGCAAATCTGGCTGTCTTTCGCCTGGTAAAAACCTTTGTCGCACTGTGCGACGCACTTGGTGCCTTGGAGGATCAAGGGACTAGCGCAGGAGAGACACGCCCTCTCTGTGGGTCCGTCGCACGAGTCGCAAGTCGAGTGGCAGGGTTTGCACAGTCCACTGTCGTAATACTGATCTGTAACGAAAAGAAAAGTTGCCTGTTTTTGCTGGAATTATCGACATTGTCACAACGTACCGACGTCGCATTTATCGCTGTTCTGCGTTTGACATCTTCCTTTACTGTTGACCTTCCAGTCGTCCAGGCAGGAAGTGCAGGTGGTGACGTTACATTCGCTGCATCCTGGCGGACACTCGACGCATTCTCTTTGGTGCACGTCGGCGTAGTGGTGGGCGGGGCAATCTTTGCCGCAACGTCCTTCGTGCCACAGTCTGCCAAAGGGACAAGAAACGCACTGGGAACTGTTCGCGCCAGAGCATGTTTCGCAGGACTTGTGGCAAGGCTCACACCTGAAAATTGTTTTTTTGTCATCAAAAATATCCTCCAGAACTACATTGCTTGTAGGCAACAAGGTAAACTAACCTGTAGTCTTCCGTTTCGTGGGTATTTATGGGACAAGCAGCTAGACACTTGCTTTGATACAACAAGAGGTGATGGTCGCAGCTAGTGCAATGGTCGGGACGGTCTTGGCAACCGGCACAATTCGGCTGGCAAGGAATGCAAGTCCTATCGGCAAAATCTACGACAAAAATTAAGCGTCTGAAACGGTAAATTAATTAAACAACCGAGACTCACTCTCGTAGTATCCTTCAGGGCACTGTTGGAGGCAGATGTCTAAGTCGATGACGTGTACGTGTCCCGGCGAACACGACAAACAACTCTTCTGATCCGGACCGGTGCAAGTCTCGCAAGCCTCGTGACACGGCTGACACACCCCTTGAGAATCACTGTAGCTTCTCGGCGGGCAGGCGCTCACGCAATTCCTTCAAAAGACCAAACGTTCAAGCTATTCATTTAACGAAATACATTCTACTCACTTATCCATTCGTTTATTCTTGCACGCTATGCACTTGGTGGGTCCTCCGCCGAAACAACCCTGATTATCGCACTGTTCGTCGCAACCCTCTTTTGTTTCCTCGTCGAAGTCGATCGAATTGCTGTTCTCCCTTACCCTGGTGTTTTTGCCGTCCAACGAGCTGACCGCTTGTTCGGGATCTGACCCGGAAAACGAGTAAACGTGGGGGAAATCATTGAAGCCTTTGAACACGTCGGCATCGAAGAAGTTATTGTTGACGGGTGTCACGGCCTGACCTTGAGACGGAAACGTGAACGTGTTGGTGGGGGATTTCCAGGGGGTCGATCGGATTCCGTTCGACGGACGAAGTCTGACCGGGTTTACGGACGTGCCGTAAAATATAAGCTGCCATTTTTTCAAGAGGCCGGGTTGGTTAACGTGTCTATTGCCCGAATTGATGATTTGAAGGTGCCATCGACCTTCCGCCTTCTCACCCCAGTAGTGCACCGACAAGAACGGCCAGTCATCGAAGTTTGAGCTCACCACGTCACGCGGTCTTTCGAATAACAAAGTGGACGTCGTGCCCATCGGAGATGTGAGCAAAATGCGTAGGTTGCCTCGGGGGAAGAACCTGAGCGAAATTTTACACTGGACGTGTTCCAAAAAGCGGACTTCATTTAGGGAGTTGCTACAAGCGTCGACCGTCATGTAAAAGTCCAAAGTGCTCCCTAAAATATATGATATTATACTCATAGCAGAGCAACAAATTTATTGATATAATGTCGACATAAGTAAAAGTTGAAAGACTCTTCTCCTCTTGTAATGATACTTTCAAGCTTGAACCAAGTGACAAAAAATGACAACTTTCTAGACAAACTAGGCTTAACAGATTACATTTGAAAAGAGATCCGTATTTCTGAGAAGAAAACTTACCATATGATGGACTAATTTGTCGGTCTTCCACGATTTCTTGACTCTTGCAGATATGTTGAGGAGGAACGGTGGTCCATTTCTCAGCAAGATTGACCAGGGCGCCGGCATCTATAAGCCCGTAACCGAACTTGTGCGACACTTTTCTGCTGACCCCGTTCGTCACCCAGCCGCTCTCCTTCTCTAACGGGGCGGACCTTGAGGTCAATACGACTAGATACTGCATGTCGCGCCAGGTCAGCGTAGGGTTCGCTTCGAGGGCGAGGGCGCAAATACCCGCCGCCAAGGGTGCCGAGGCTGATGTTCCGGTATGCTCCACCGTGCATATGTGATCAGGTCTAAGTCTGGCGTCCATGTCGACGGTGGCGACGCTCTTGTCGTGACCGGGCGTTCCGGAACTATATGTACTGGCCAATGTAGACGAACATTCCTCCAAGTACCACGGCTTGTAACTGTAAGGAGCAATATAAAAAAATTACGAGAACATTTTTAAAATTAAAAGAGAACAATAGATAGAAGTGGGCACGTCGTTTTGCTTACCCTCCTTGCGTTGCGCTCGAGATGCTGAGCGTGAAAATACTGTTGGTGTAGCCGTCGCAATTGCAAGAATCCGTGTGGCGCCCTCCATTGCCCGAGGCCCACACGAATATCGAACCCTTTCCTTTTCTCCCGCTCGTTACCCCATAAATGAAAGCCCTTCGGGCCAGAGGTCCCGGCCCGTCCACAGTTTTGCCATCGTCTTCGGGGCCCCACGACGCGCTGTAGATGTCTATGTGCTCGGGGTTGAGACCCAGCGCTCGAGCCTCCACGGCATCGTTCACGACTCCGTCTAACATCCTGACACCTGAAAGGAGAAGGGTGGGTGGTGTGGTATTTTTAAACGAAAATACGCGGGATAAAAGCTTCCCGGCTTAATTGTCCGTGAAAATCCCTCGGGAATAAAGTCGGGCGGGAGTTTCCCTCTGTTCTCTATTGTCTGACGGGTTTTCCGAGACCGTCGACAACAACCCCCGCGGGTGTGGTGGCGAGATACATGTTACCCCTCCGTAAAAATCTTCGTATAGTTTGGTCCGAATTATATCGCTGGTCATTTTAGTTGTTATAAAACCTCCATCCTAACATAGAGATGGCGCCTCTATATAATTTTTTTCGGCGTCAAAGGAGACAGAGACAATTTTGTCAGCTAACAAGGTTTTAGGTAGCGTTTTTTAGGTTGCAAGGGGAATAATTTTTAATGAATAATTTTAATGGTATCATCAATGGCGAGAACAAGTGGGCAAAGAAATAAAGAAAACACATTTGGCGAAAAAAAAATACATTTCACCATGGTGATACGTCAGTAACAGTTCGAATTGCTCTGTTCTCCACATTATTCGCCTGATTTAGCGCCCAGCGACTACGCTTTGTTCCCTAACCTCAAAAATTGACTTGGTGGACAAAGATTTGAGAGTAACGAGGAGGTTATTGCTCCTGTTGCGAGAGTTATCGATTTATTACTGTCGACATCAAAGGTCTAATTCGAACCAAACTAAACTCGTAAAATTATATTGTTGGAAGAGTGGGGGGTACAAAACGAAACGTACACCACGTCGGTTTAATATCGGAGGCCTCCGGGGACCCGATTGTTTTCTAAGAGCCGCTACAAGTCATGCATAACAAAGTAGCTCCACCAACTTCCCACCCCGAGCTTGAGTGAAATAACGGTCGGACAGGCCGAGCGGCCCTTGTATTTAATGGCCCAATTTTTTTTCTGCCCTGAAAAAATTACCTGTCCCGTTTAATACCGGTTAACGGGGGGGAAATAATTAACACGCACAGGTACGCCGCTACTTGTTTATGTCTCGGGGATGGACGCGCGCCGAATGTTAATTTACTTTTTAACTTAAACTCAATCCTCTATCCCCTTCTCCTATAACATCTGGTAAAATTTATGTATAAAAGAAACATTAGATCCTCGTAATAAAAAAACTAACATTTTTATAGATCCGGCTCGAAGGACCAATGTATGTCCGCGCGCCAAATGTGGGTTTTTTGAAATGATCATTTAAACCTCTCCTTTGAGCTTCAGTGCTATGGTCAAGGCTACACTTCTCCACTTACAGATACAGGATAGATATATTATGAAATGTTTGGGGTCATAGGAAATAGGTAAAACGGGGATGCAAGAATCCACCGGATTGCACCGTAGTTGCGGAAAAACGAAAACGATCTCCAAAGGCTTTAGAGCTGAAACCACAAAACATCAGATATGGTTGAGCTCTGTGAAACGGAAACGTTGAGATGAATCTGAGTAAGGCAAGAATGGACAGAATTGAGAATGAATTTATCAACTCACGGGTTTAGAGAAGAATGGAATGTGAGAATGCGAAGTCGTGTTCGACCAAGAAAGAGGTGGAAGGAAGCTCGATATTAAACAATTCCTAGACCTGTTGTTAATCATAAGAAGAAGAAGAACGGACAAGAGAGAGAACTGACGAAAATGATAATTTCGCTTCTGCAGACAATTGAATACTCGCGAATTAACCTGATTGGCTTAATATTCAGAGTTGACCCTACTCAAAGTTTATACACGGCCGAAACTCATTAGCCAAGTTTACTAAGAATATGTCGCCGGAGGTTTATTACAATCAACGTTTCTCTCTCGTCGATAAACCCTCCCTTAATCGTTTGATTTATTCCATCCCATACGTCTCTATTACCGATAAATTGAAAATTCAATTTCAGACCCGACACTGGATATGTGAGAAAATCCAATCAATCAAACAAACACCGGGGCGTGTTGTGATTCTTGTCATTCACGTCCAGATGTTATAGGTAATGAATTATTATTCCCCCAATCGAAAATGCAAATCGTGTCCCGCATTATCCGCGAGAACGATCATCGTTGAACTAACCAAAGGAAACTTTCCGCATTTAATCAATAAACCCTCAATAAATACCGTGTCGATTTTAGAAATGCTGTCGGCATTGTTGTGCATATGCATATGAGTTCGTCAGGGTTCGGTTCTTGACCCCAAAAAGTAATTACGATCTGCGTACCTATCGTTACTGGGTAAAAGATAAGACAGGGGCGAGGCAGTTAGTGTCTATTATCAGTGGCGGTATTGAATAACCTGTTTTACCGTTCGTTTCGCAAAAGTTTCCATTATCAAGAAACTTACAAAAAGGCCAATATCATCCATAAAGGATATGAAAGTAAATGAAAAAAAAAGACGTAGTGATTTTCTCACCGCCAGAACAATAGTGAACAAGATATAATAAGCAAAATATATTCCCTTTTACAAAGTCAGATTGTTCATGGTTTGCATATACTGAAAAATAAGCTAGAAGAAGATGAAACCAATATAATTATTAGCTGTGCCGCCCTCCATAGAGTTCATACCTAAGTTAATTGAATTAATGAAATTTTTCAAAAGTACTACGATACCTACCGACCCTACGATACTCTAAGATACAACAACATATCAACCGAAATCCATACATAGGAAACAAAGTGTTTTGATAATAATAATATTATAATATAATAACATCTGGAAAACGCTTCAACTAGTGTCGCGCTGAGGAACCCACTTTACTCAGCCGTAGGATATCATCCACTGACCTACTTAACTTTATAAAAGATTCCATACCTTATAATAAATTCGTTAAACAAAATTGTATTACAATAGTAGCGTTTCAAGAATTGGTTTTGGTACTTTTGTGCTCTTATATAGATCTTCATATCTTCTTTACCAGTGCTATGTTTAGAAGACAGTTGAGCAGTATAGTATAGTTTTGTACATTAAAATGTCAACAAAGCTCGAATACGAGGCATATTGGAAAAAAAGGAATGAAGGCAAAAGCGTGGCATACATTATCAAACGAAATGCCTAAAAACTGGCAACTGACTTCGACTTTTTAGGCAATATAATTTTTTTTCTAATAAATAGAGGTGCTGCGAGTCACACACTGACCGCTACTCAATAAATACGCTACAAAGGGCTGGATCGGAAAGGAATAATACAATCTTTTTTCGTCACTACCATTTGTTTACCTCAGAGACCTTGGAATACAAATAAACGCTCCGATGCGAAGTCAAAGAGTTAACGTCAGCGTATGGTAGTTTGCACAGATCGTGCAATTCGCGCATTACTCATTCTCTTTCCCGCTTTATCCGACCGGTCACAAACGAATCAAATACGATGTTTATTACAAACGTGGTATTCGCAAAGGGACAAATTTAAATTTCTGAAGCTGCTAAACAATTTTTACTGAAAAACTACCCAAGTAGATTTTTTTTTATTTACAACCACACCTTTACCCATCCCGATATTAAATTATACATTAATGATACGTTAAATGACAGACCTGCTTCGTTCTGCTAGACGTTCGACGGACATAATGGACCAACCAATTATTGACGACAAATCGTTCCCCGGACGTTCGTCGGTTAATAATTAAAAGGTCAGGCTAACGACCCGAACGTTATTAATTTGGAATTTACAATTTCAGTGCTGTTTGGATTCACACGATATTGCATAAAAAAGAGTTTGTTTCGTTCACGATTGGGTGCCATAAGGAAAAGTCCTGCGGGTTGCAAAGACAAACAGGAATAACAGAAATTGGTATGTTATTCAAGAGAAGGCGTTGATTTTGATTACCTATCGTGTTATTTGTTTGAAGCCACAACGTATGTGTGCAATGTGCTTCGGATTTTCGATTATATGGATTTCAACCTTAAAATCGTTCTTGTGTCATTTTGCACAGGAAACTAACTCAATGCGTGGACAAAATGGAAGCTTCGACAACAGATCAGGGTTGCCATTTTGGTTGGCATTGAAATCGAAAATTATTGTTTGCAATCGTTTAGCAACTTTTTCAAGATTTTGTTTTTGATATTTATATCATGTTTAAGTTAGCTTTTGTTAACATCTTCGCAAAATAAGAAACACATTATTTAAATTGTTTTTTCCTTCAACATTAGCCGTGTTTCTCAGCAAAACTTGCGTCGTAAGGATATCTCTCTCAGGGATTTGTTTGTTATTATTACAAATTAAGATAATTTATTAAAAAAAATAATTTCTGGTGAAGTATTCTTGACACCGGTTTAAGATCAATTTAGGTTAAGTTAGTAGCTGCCGTCAGATCGGACTAATAACGACTGTGCACCAATCAATTTGAGATTAAAGAACTTAAGGAATATAAATAACCTTGGTATCGAATATATTCGAAGATTCGTGCCGATTCAAATTTTTCCGTCAAAATTAGCTCAGAACCTCCGCTACTTTGCTACTACTTCTTTCCCTACAAGTTTCAGTTATTCGATTACAGGAAGCAATTAAAGAGAAACAGTTGATAACTTTCAAAAAACCGGTGGGGAGAGGGGGGGGGGGTCGATGCGAAACGAATTTTCGCTAGAAAAGCGGGGGACGCAAGCTGTTTATCTATCATTTCCCGCCGTTTGGCGATTAAACGGTAACTATCTCAATTTTTAAAACACATTCTCGCTCGTAAAAGAACTACACATTCGTAAACAAAGGGCATAAACGAGATAACAGAGTTGATATAGCGTTTATTGCGGACGCTAAACTCGAGCATACACATTTTTAGAATGTCGAAAGGAAAAAATAGAGTAAATTTCTCGTCCGCACGATAAATTACTTTTATGGTCTCCCGACGGCGGCGGGGGGGGGGGGGTGTAGGGGTGGGGCCGGAACCGCGAAGATACGGTTAATATAACGCAATCGTAAATCGTTCTGGTTATCCTAAACCAACCGCTCTATTTCGGGGTTGATACAAATCACAATTTGGAATATTCAGGCTGGTCAGGTATGGTCTGTTCATAGATATAATAAAGTGACCAATTGCTTTTGAATGGGATTAGCCAAGGGTGGTCATTATCATACATTGCAACAAGATTATTACCCAAAGCTTCGAAATTTAAATTCAGGTAAAATTGTGGTCACACAACACAAACGGCCACATTGACGAAAATTCCAACATCAACTGTATGGAAAATTGTGAATAATCCCATTTCAGAGAGGAAAAAAAGAAGCGATGCTGACATTTTCTCGAGTGTAGATGAAAGTGATGAAGATGTAATACTGCGTAAAATTTACCAGTTATACGAGGAACAAAGCGTGCCTACATTAGATATCTTAATTAGGAAGCTTGAAAAAGATGAAACCTCAGAACTACCTTATGGAAGTGTATTCAACACATGGGTTTTAGATTTAAAAAAATTGACAAAAGGCAAGTTTTAATGGAATCTTTTAGAATTCGGAAATAGCGACTGGAATATCTAGAAAAAAAAATAGGATTTACAGAGAACAACAAAGGCCAATTATTTACTTGGATGAAACCTGGTTCGACACTTATGATATCCCGGAAAAGGGTTGGGTTGACTCAACTGATGAGTGTAAAACAAACGCGCCATCAAAAAGAGGTAAAAGAAAAAGCAGAACAATCGTATATCCATATTGCAAATAATGTAGAACAAATAATAATTAGAAAAGGCGATGATAGCGATAGTGTTACTGATATATTATGTGAATAATTTTAAGTAATTTAAGTAGTAAATAAAAATAAATAAATATTTTTTAGTATCTTCCTAATAAAACCCCAAAATAATGAAATTCTAAACAAAGTACCGACCTGTCCGGCCATATTTCATTCTTACAGCTTGCCCGTGTCTTTCCTTAATTCGTATTTCTTATATCTATGAACAGACTTTATCAAAATTACTGCTCAAGGAAACTTGACCGGTTCCTTTATTTTGGATCGAAACTGTTGACATTATTATTTGGTCATAGGCTATTTCACTAAAGTGTGGAAGACATAAAATGGGAAATTCCGTCCAGTTCCGCTCAACTTCGGTGTTGGTCATAGGCGTACGTAAAAGTTAAAAAAAAAAGAAATCTCCACACTAGATGAGATTGTAATAGAGGGTTCAGTATAAGTAGTTCGTTGATAACTAGAAATCTTTTATGGACCATGGATTTAGCATGGGAAAATGCACTTTCACTGGAAAGCGACAGAGTTTCTAATCTTTCAATGTGCTCATATGTTTCCTTTCGCACCAGTTTTAAGAACATCAGGAAGGAAATCGGTAAGAACGACATTCGGTTACGTCATCGGGTTTATCAGTAGATACGACATAACTGGGACTGCTTCAAATCTAGTTAGCTGCTAATAAGTAATATATGTCTTTCCAGTTCTTGAATTAATGAAGAAGAAAGAGTCATTTGATTTATGGGTACTTGACAGTGTAAAAAAATATAATTAGAATAAAGAAAACCTTTAGATTTCAGATTAATTCAGTAAACTCGATCCAGATCGAAAAGGCCTGGATTTGTATTTGTCGATGATTTGTATTGTAGGAGGGAAACAAGTGACTGTTAGGGTTTAGAACAACTGGCTGCTTTCGTGTTTTTTACCACTAATCGACCACTATCAACTTCATATTTACTTGCCTAATAATTTCATTTATAACGAGATATGCTTAAGAGAGTTTCGGAAGAAGGGAACCAAATTCAATCGAAAATTAAATCCATTTGCAGACACTGCGAATTAGTGGATATTCAAAGTTCTTTTGAGAATAAAAAAAAACAAAAAAAAAACGCGCCAATGATTGGGTTTAAAATCCGATTTTTCTCACTCGTAACAAAAAACATGGCGTAACGAAGTTTCGTTTGAAATTAATTAATTTAATGGAAAACATTTCGGGGCCGGGGCGGGGTCTTTTTATCGCAAAAAGCTGATAAATTGATTTTATTAAAGTGCGATTTTTACGGAGCAATGGCGGACGAAAAAACGTTCGCAGTTGATTCCGAACGAATTAGTTAAAACAAATGGTAGCGGCTCATTTGATCTTGAATAATAATTTGCCGTTTGTCGCCTTCGATTAAAATTTTATTGTCCCTTAATTTCGTCGTGAAACGGGGGATAGAGGGCGAAATTCAATTTGACAAATCCATAAACCATTTCATTAATCGATTTAGCGATCGGCCGCTAGTAGATATTGTATGGGGGTTCTGCGACACGATGTCGTCGACGTCACGTGACGCAAACGACATAAAAATGGCGAGCATAACGGAAAACATGTCGCTTACCGCCGATACTAGCGTTATAGGCCACTCCTATGCCGCAAAATTGGTTATACGCTACAGCTGCCACTTCTCCCGCACATCTAGTGCCATGTTTGTTGTCCCCATTGTCTTGGGGCATGGGGTCGTCGTCGTCGCCGTTGATGTCCGTGCTGGCTAGCGGGTCCTGAAACACCAAAACGTCTCGTACAATACGACAGAATAATAAAATATTGTTCGCAAAAAAGACGGCGCAGTTGCTCGAAGAATTTCCGGTAATCGTTCACGTTGCCCGTTCTAAATGCCGAGCGTTGCAAATGTATTTGCATTTAATAACGGCAGACGATCCATCATTCGAGATTTTCACGAATTTGTAACGTTATCTGCTTAAAGTGAGAAGCATCATTAATTATATTTCCCGGTGAACATAGGAAAAACTATACAGGGAATAACTTCGTTATTGTAGGATTTATATAGCGACAGAAGGCGAAGAAAATTTGAAATTTAAATCTACACTCCAGTGAAAGGATTAAGCCGATACTTATGTATCGTACAAAGATACTGCAAACGATTTCTCTTATGTATCTAGTCATCTCGTCATACTTTATATTACATTATACATCGTCTCTTTTTTGAGCTTTGTCTTGGAATAATATGTGGTAAAATTTAGCGAAGAAAAAGCTTGTTTTGAAATGAGGCAAAAGCAGTATTATTGTGTAAATAAGCGTATCGGTTGTCGAATTACATATTTTACGAGAATATTAATAAATCAATATTCGCTATAATGAAAAGGTCGCAGTGCAACGATTTAAATAAATGCGCACAGGGAATAATATCAAATGCGAAGTTAATTAAACATTTAACAATGTTATTAAATCGATAAATTTACAACGAATAAATAACAAACTTATAATTAATAAAATGGAAAATTTCGATATGTATAAATCCTTTGGCAAATACGTAATTTCTAACTCTCAAATTGGCGGATTATTTGCGCATAATGGATTAATAAAATTTAGAGTGTTTTTTTTTATCTGGCAAGGAATGATGTTCATTAAATAACGGGAGTCAAGTCAGATTAAACTAAGACCGGAAGACCTAAATCTATCCAACTCCGCAGACCTACGAAATGTAAATCTGAAGTATCCTCGGACCCTCTCCCAACCGGGAGGCTCGGTATCCTCGTCGCTAATTTGTCTCAAATATCCCTATAACGATGGGGAATCCTGCCGAGAAGTGTTAATACGATTTAAGACGCGATTAAACAGTTATTATAAACTTAAGTCGTTGCGAGGAAGTCTAGGAAATGGCCGGTTAATTTGATAATTCTCGAGGAATATGTATGAGAGTCCGTGAGGGTCGACCGTCGCAAATAACCCCCGCTTTATGGGGAGATTGCTTAACTTATATGAGTTATTGAAGTTGTCCGGGATTAGTTTCATGTTTAGAATGACTTGAGAGGCCGGGAAGGAGGACTTACAGAATGTATACATGTCTGTCGGAGTGCGGTTTTGCAGACGATCGTAGCCAAGTTACTCCGATTAAAGTTGTATTCGGACACTTGAAGAAGATACAGGATAGGCTCTTATGCAAACTCGAAAACTGAACACTTTATGGCGACATCTAACTGCATTTAAATACCATAAAATCGAAGAACAATTAAGTGGATGGAGCAGGATGTGTCCTCAAGAAGGAGGTGTCAAAGAACGACTGTAGGATACTCTTTAGTAGGGAGAAGAATTGAATCCGTTTGTATTGGTTTTTTTAAACGGTGGCCCAATTCTCCATTGTGATTGGTCGCAGTCGAAAGCTGGATTTCAACGGAACCACATCGAAAGCTCTCCTACGTATCGATCGAAAAGGAAAACCGACATACACACAGACACGTGCATCAGAGCTAAACCGAAACATACCGCAGCTTTTAAGTTCGTACACAAACGACGAAGCCCGGGAAATTGGATTATAAGACTATACGCGAGACGATCGTTGTATTTCGAACGGCAAACGCTGAAATTCGGGCATCACTCCGTACCGGGTATTGTGCGTAGTTGAAAAGGCTTTGTGGTACCTTTATATCGAGGAATTACGCAGATAATTAACGCGAAAACCAATAAGGGATAGCGGTTCGAAATCATCGAACCGTAATCCGGATTATCGCACACTATAGACGAAATCCCTATTGCACAAGGTGTATGAAGAATAGAGGAAAATCTGTGGCTCGTTCGGTATTATTGGCGATAATAGTTGCTATTGATATTCAACAATAATTAATTAGGATAAATAAAACAAAGTGTAGAGTTTGTGACTGGTTAGCAGAACGGAAAATATCAATTTTCAAAATTTCGCGCGACCTACACAAGAGTTTGATTTTGAAATGTATGCCCAATTACGCCTACCCGACTTACAAAGTAGTAATCTCGTTATAACGTGCTCGCACACTCACACACATCCGCGAAAACTAAATAAAGCGACTCTGCCAGTTTAAAGTTTGCGTAATTGTTAGCGACCAAGTTTAATTAGCAATATGGCGAATGTGATGGGCGCCCAGAACCCGTTATTGGTCCCCAGGGATAGACCGCGCCAAATAGAGTTGCAGATGCAATTTGGACAACACAGACGCGTCCCTGTTTACCTAATTTTATACGATTCGATGCCGATAAAGGGGTTAGTTCATCGTTGGAAGCTTATGCGGTTCCTTGGGATGTATTTCTCTAGGTCATCTCGATTTATTGGTCAAATTAAGCCTTATAGGCGATGGATGTCGAAAATTTACATTTTCTCTTGAAATAAATGGAAACGACTAAAAACAAGATAGCTTTCGAAAAATCGTATTTTGTATTGTATTTTGAAAAGAACGCGCTTCGAGATTTCTTGCAGTAATTTTATTGTGCATACACCCTGTATAAACCATCCTCCACGTCTCGCTGAACTTCAAAGTTACCACACACTTTATTAAATACTAAATATTATATTTTTTTACAAATAATAGCGATTCCCAAAGGTATTTTTTCAAATATCTTGCGCACCCGTAGGATAGACGAAAGCTGGAAATTTCTCTTTTTTTACGATAGTGTTTATATCAAATCTCATATTAAACAGTTTTTCATTTATCCCTAATAATTTATCCACAAAAACGGAAATTTTAGTTTTCTTTGCCCATAAACGACACGCCCTGAATATAATTTAAACAATGTACGAAATAAAAGTTATAGTCCTGAATCGCCCACGTTTCCTGGAATATGATTTTTTCCAACAGAGTAAACGGCTTTCGAGAAATTACGCTGCAACAATCAGATTTTTTCTAATATCTCGAGCAGCGTACGTGATAGACAAAAATTGTAGCTCTGTTTTAACCAATTAGCCATATTTTCTACAAATTTTATAATTTACTCTGGAAAAAAAAATTTTCAGGATCTTTTAGATTTTTGTCTATAATTGAAAAAAAACCCTGTACATAATCGAAAAAATGATTGAAATGAAACTTATAGTACCGTATCTCCTGCGTCTTCTGGTAAAAGAATTTTGCCGATCGGATTAATAGTTTTCTAGAATTTTTTTTCTCAAAACCAAAATGACATAAAAAAAATCTTTTTTTTTTAATACTTAGCGATATTTAATGGCGCCCAGTTTCATTAGTTTAAATGTAAGTGTGGACTTCTACTTCTCTGAAAATCTGAAGTCGGTAGTTGAATTTTTTTGAAATACTTCTAATTATAGAAATCTAACGATATTTTGGTATGGAAATACACTGATAAAATAAATTTAAACTATAATAATCAATTTGACATAAGTTAATTCTTTCATGACTTCTGCGTCCTCCGTCATCCGGAGAGATAATTAAGCCTAATTATTTTGCTTTGGGCTCTAAACTCGTACTTACGTAATTCTGAGCGAGGTCAGGGTGGTTGGTTTGGATGCCGTCGTCCAAAATCGACACGACCACCCCCTTGCCGGTGTACCCCTTTTGCCAGGCCGGCGCCAAGTTCATGTCCAATCCATCTTTCGCACCCCCATTCTGGAAATAAATTTAAAAATTTCAGTGTTGTCGGACTTTTCGGAGGTGGCGAAGGGTCGGGAGGGAGGCTGGAAGGCCAGCCGTACGTCTTGTCAGGGGTGGAAAACACGGGACGTAAGTGATAAAACGTCTCAACGAACGGCGGGGCAAACGAAAATATATTTGGCACTCGTGTATTTTTAAAAGGTTTTCCTATTAAATATGTTAAATAACGTTCTTGGTGATTTATGTGATCGCGCGATGCTTGTGATAGAAATCACTACCTCGGATCTAAGGGATGACGTTTGATGTAATGCGATTTAATAGTTGAGTTGCGTTAAAACACTTTTCCTAAACTTTTATAAAGAAATTCCATCAGCCTTGGTGACATTTGATAGTGTTTAATTTTTCTTGGTCTCTCTTCGTCTTTGCTAGATTCCTATTCAATTTAATTTTAGATTATTCATGTATTTACTGTCAAGTATCCCCTTTGAGCTGAGTTCCAGACCGAAAAAAATTTCAATATTTTTATTTTCGAAAATTTGTAGTTGGTCGACATTAGTCCCATCGACTTGCCACAAGCTCGGTTACTTCACTAACGATTTTTAGTAAAATTTTTATTTCGTTTAATAACAGAACAGCTGTGTCAGATTCGTTTATGATTTGAGAAAGTTTGGTGGAAAGAATATTTGTTTTAATTTTCTTTTTTTTAATTTAAGTTATATGCAAGTAAACTTATACTGAATTTAACAGTATCAAAAAAGAAGATACAGTCTTTCATTGTACTGTCTATTCTTAAGAGTTGCTGATTTAACTAGGTTACAAAAAATCCAGAACAGCTGTGTCAGATTCGTTTATGATTTGAGAAAGTTTGGTGGAAAGAATATTTGTTTTAATTTTCTTTTTTTTAATTTAAGTTATATGCAAGTAAACTTATACTGAATTTAACAGTATCAAAAAAAAAGATACAGTCTTTCATTGTACTGTCTATTCTTAAGAGTTGCTGATTTAACTAGGTTACAAAAAATCCAGAACAGCTGTATCAGATTCGTTTATGATTTGAGAACGTTTGGTGGAAAAAATATTTTAATTTTCACTCGCAATTTGTATATTTAAAATTGCGAAATATTCTTTACTCAGGAACATGAACGTTCGTTTTGAGATTCAGTATGAAATTTACAGTTCTCCTCTAAGTCGGTTTTTAAAAGTAGTTTAAGTAGTTGAAGATTACAGTTTAAGAGGCTGAAACATGTACTGGATCATAGATCCTCCTCTGCAATATTCACAAAAATAGGTAATATTGAGTAGCTGAGATCAAGATTTCAAGATTAACACTTCGCCGTTTAAGTTGGAAGTATGTATTACTGCAGCACTGCCTTTAACACACTTACAGTTGAAGCTGGAAATTTCACGTAGCCAATAGTAGTAGTTTTTTTTTTGTAGGTCGGACATGTTTGTATTCAATTGGTAGGTTCAGGTATATCTTCTAGATCCTGGGTTCTTCATTAGACTGTGTTTTATAGCCAATTAGGAGTGGAGAGTTTTTGTTACTTTGTTTTTCACAACTGCGACAAATCTTTCGATACTCCTTAGGGAGATATGCCTTGAATTTCATTATTATGGTTCTGATTATCGTTAATTTGATTATTATTATTATTAATATTATTAATATTATCATTATATGTGCGCAATTCCGTAGAGAGCAATGCTTTGGAGGTTTTCTTGACTAATAGTTGATTGCGGCAGTTTGCGGACATGTTTTTGCAGTTCTTTAGAACATGTTCCAAGGTCGCTTACTATTACTGGCTTTTACGTTTACGTTCCACATCCTGGAGATTTCGATGGAGAGGTCTCTATTTTTTATGAACTTTTCAGTTTCTTTAAGTTCGATGTTGCTATCAGCAGGGACAGAGACTTCTATCAGCTTACATGTTCTTTTCTTGTCATCCCTGATTATTATATCTGGCCTATTTGCTGGGATAGTTCTATCTCTGTGAACAGGCTCATTATATATTATTACAGTATTGTCCACCTTTACCATGCCCTCCGGGTTGTGCATATATCATTTGTAAATGCGATCCTCCTCTAGCAATTTTAAAAGTTCGTAATGGATATACTTGCAGATCTGCTCATGTCGTTGGATATACTCAGATCTAGTCAGTATCTCACGGCCAGCTACAATGTGGTCGATCGTTTCAATTTTTTGTTATACAGTCTGCATTTTCCATCGTCCTGATTCTGAGCAGCAGCTATTGGTGCTTCAGTTTCACCTTTTATCCGTCCATGGGTTAACCATCGCCATGTTTGCTGCTTCTTTACTGTTGGTCTGGTAATTCGTTTGTGGAACTGACCAATATTAATATTATTATTATTTAATGGATTCCTCAGTCATCGCTGGATGTGGCTCCTTTCCTGTTTTGGCATTGGCTGCAAAAAGTCAGGTGGGTAAGTTTTAGGTAATTTTGAACATGTTTTGTTGTTTAGTTGTGGGGGTCGTTAAGTACGCGTCTGACAATTACGCTGGTTTTAATGAGAGTTATTTTTTGTAGTTGGTGGCATATCTGTTCTCTAATGTTGGGCTTTTTTAGGTTTTCGATCAATGTATATGGTATTTTTCCGGTTGCGCTTGTAATAATTGGTACTACAATGACTCTTTCTTGGTTCCACATATCTTTTATTTCATTGGCAAGAGATAAGTACTTACTAATTTTCTCGTCGTGCTTTTTTTGCAGGTTTGTGGCGAGTGCGACGGAGAAGTCAGTCAGGTAAGTAGGTTTTTATGTATACTTTTTTTTTCGGTACACCAAGTCTGGCCTATTATGTTGCAGAGGTAGATCGGTTATTATTTCTCTATTCCAATACATTTTGTAGTTTTCCGTTTCAACTACACTTTTTGGATTGTCTTTGTAGTACGGTATTGTCCCCTTCGTTTCTGTGTCGTGTAGTTTCAAGAGTTCTTGGGGTATTACTTTGCCGATGTTGTCATGTCGTTTGGTGTCTTGATTTGGGGCGAGCGTTCGACATCCGCTTATTATGTGGTCGATCGATTCAGTTTGTTCTGCGCACATTCTACATTTGTCTGTTGGAATATTTTCCTTAATTATGTATTTTTTATAATTTCTTGTTGCCATGACCTGGTCTTGTATTGCTGTTACAAATGCCTCGGTTTCGGGGAACAAGTACCCTTGTTTTAGGAAAATTCAGGGACGTGTCTTTGTTGATATGCGGTTGCATCAGTGTTATTATTATTATTATTATTATTATTATTATTATTATTATTTTTGTTATTGTTATTGTTCTTCTTCTTTTGTTATTATTGTTATTGTCGTTATTATTATATTTCCAGAACTGTCCTCATTACCAAGGAAAAATTATTGGTAAGCCGGCTATACTAACGGTAACAGTCTTCGACGCGTTACGTCACTATCTATTACGCGACGAATTACCCAGACGCCGTATTCAATTAAAAAAATAACCGATGAAAATTGGAGATCAGATTTATCTCCCGGTTGCACAAAACCCCCCCGGAGAGTTGGGGACGTTCGGCACAAAAGCGCCGTCGTCAACAGAACTAGACGAATGCAGCCAGCCAGGCAGGCATCGCCAGTGTGCCCGAAGTTATAAATCCGGGAATGTGACGCGGCAATAATTGTGATTTATGTTGACAAACGCCCAATTTAAGCTGAAACTTTAAAACGTTATATGCGCTCCGCGCTATATAGTTAATTCAACTTGGTAAATTTCTAGAATTTGTCAGGTTCACGCGAGCGGCGTCCCCTTCGCGTCGCGACGCCCGCGACGCATTCATGCCGAACGTCACGACCGCGAAGCCGCGCGAGATTCTAAAATATGGCCCTGGCTTTAATCTTCCCATTCGAATTGTTTCCCATGTAATGGCTCGGCAACTCTACACCAGAAATGGCTCTCATGATATGTCGGCTCGGTAATAATTCGGAACAGGAATTTGCTACCGGATATAGTATCCTAATCGAGCCAAAAATTCATGTTTTAGATAGCAATCTTTGATTGGCTAGTGCTAGTTGCTATCCTAGAATTCCCAAAGGTGCTTTACCACTATACTGAGTTTTTGTAAGTAGGATTGCTTTTCTGTCAAAATTAATACGTAAGTAGTATAGCTAACGAAGTTCTGGGACCTTTGATGCTTCGGGTAGGACTAATCAAATTACCTGCAAACGTCAGTGAAATTTCACTGTACGGTGATTCTCCAAGGGATGGCTTTAATTATTATTATAATAAGATGATGATTAGATATGAATGATTTAAGAATAAGTTTATTTAAAACAAATGTATATACAATTCTTTAGCTAGTAGTTGTAATTCATTTAAATCCAACCTTTGCTTTCATTGTAGGTTTTGTTAAATAGTATAAGCCTATATTGTGCCATTCTGTAATTGGTTAGCTGTGCCTGACTGCTGAATGGTCTGTAAAACATGAATAAATAAATACCCTTGAAGTTCCTAAACTGAAAGCTGAAAGCTTCTTTTCATGTTTTCCGTCCTCCTTTATGATTATCTCGAAGTTTATAAAATCTATTGTTATTTCGTTCCGCGCTAATGGGTATAAAAAGCTCAATGCACTTAACCTTCGATTGAGATTTCAATTTAGGAATATAGGTTTTGCTGCCTACGCGTATGAAGAAAATTTTCTTTATACTCTTAATATAAAATATTTTCCGTACAAACTCCCAAGAATCGTGCAAATAAATGTGCGATTTGTATCTTCAAGGAAGCCATTAGTTTAAAATACGCCCTCAAGCGGCATTTCGACGAGAAAACGCACGCAGTACGAATATCAGTATTCAATTACACTTTAAGCCCTTTTGAGCCTATTTATCGATAAAATTGCAATAAAAGTTGTGAGGTAGGTTTAATATCTACTTATTGAGATCGAGAAGGGGAAAATTGTGTAACCTAAATTGCTTAATAAACTAACCTATATAGGTTAGTTCGATTACATCACAATAGTTTAGATTATTTATGTGATAACCAATTTGTGGCGC